AAACTGTGGTGCACAGAAATGAGCTGCCCACCGACTGAGCTACCTGGCTAGGGCTGAGTTTTTGTTAGCTTTTACAAAAAAAAAAAAAAAAAAAAAAAGGTACTGAAGTTGCTTGATCATGCATATTTACACATATTATGCATGCATTACACATATGCATGTACATATGTACACACACACATGCAAAAAGACACTTATTTTCTTTATTGATTTTAAAGAGAAACATCAGTTTACTTTATCTATCCATGCATTCATTGGTTCTGTTTATTTAAAAAAATGTTTATTTCTAATTAGAGGCCTGATGCATGAAATTTATGCAAGGGGTTCAGCCCTCACAGCCACAGTGGCTGCCTTGGCCTTCTCAGCTCCAGCTTCATCCTGAAGGTTGTTCGGTCATATGGTCTAATTAGCATATTATGCTTTTATTATTTTAGATTACATATGTAATTAAAATTTTTTTATTGTTGACAGTATTACAGATGTCTGATTCTTTGTTGGCTGCCTCTGGCACACCCCACACTGGGGATGAAGCCCACAACTCAGGCATGTGCCCTTGACTGGAATTGAACCTGGGACCTTTCAGTCTGCAGGCTGACGCTCTTCCCATTGAGCCAAACTGGCCAGGGCTCATTGGTTCTTGTTTGTGTCCTGACATGGGATTAAACCTCCAACCTCGATGTATCAGGATGCTCTAACCAACTGAGCTACCTGGCCAGGCCAACAAAGGCCTGCTTTAAAACTGAAGACTGGAGGCCACCAAGACCAAGATGGCTGGGAGACTTGCTGCTTTCCTCAAGGACGCCTGGGCCAAGGAGCCGGGCTGGTTGAGTTCTTCACCATTGGAGGCCTTGGTATTTTTCTGCCCCCTTCAACCCTTACACCAAGCACGAGGCCAGGATCAATCAGGTTACACCCTACAACTCCCCAGTGCTAGTTGGAGATGATGGAAACATGCCTGACACCCCCAGCTATCCCCAGCACCCTTAGGGCCCAAGTTGGAGTGACTGAGAGCATATCCACTGACAGGCCCCCCCTGTGGCCCCCAATAAAAATGTGACGACAAACAAAAACACACACACACACACACACACACAAAACACACACACACACACCAAAAACAAACGAACAAAAAAACCCACCCCAAAACAAAACTAAATATTAGCGCCCCTCCAGCAGCATGCTCTGCTTCTCACAGTGCCCGGGGGCATTCAGGAGGCTTCCTGAAGGCGAAGGTGGGGAGAAGGGAGAGGAGGGCATATTTAGGTCCCAGTTAGCCCTAAATGACAGGGTAGCAGAGGAAATGTTACCTTCTCAACGGAAAGAAATCCTTCCCAGATGGCAGAGGGGTAATTGAGGCCTGAGGTGGAATGACCAGCCTGAGGTCAAAGCCTGGGCCATGCCTCAGGCTGGAGACCCGCATACTGTATGTCCTGTCTAAGTGATCACCAGTCTGCTGGTGAAAAGGGAGCTGGGGGGCTACTGGAGAGCAATTTCGATTGCTCTCACCCCCCACCTCGACTTCCAAGAGTGGGTGCGGGTTTAGGTTCTGGGTGACTTTCTCAGGGCATGGCACTAAGGCCCCTATCACACACCCACTTCCCAGGTTCTGATAAAGATGAAGGCAAATGTCTGGGAGGTTCTGGGCTGACAGCAGCTCCCATCATTGTCAAATGGGCCCTCACCACTCCTGAGTGTCCTCCGAGACACAGTGGGAAGAAGGCAGACTCAGGGGTCCCACATCAGCTTCCTAAGGAGCCTTGTCTCATCTGTCCCCATTTGATTTGCTGATGGATCCCCTCCCCAACCATTCCCCTTCTCTGGTGCCCTGGGTACGTCCAAAGCCTGCCTCCTGCCTGTGCCATGCTCAGGTGGAAGCCCCTGCAGGCCCATGTGTTCACCCACCTGCTGTGATCTTTGCCCTCTCCCCCAACCTGAAGGGCCAGGGGTAGCTGGTAGAGGAATCAGACACAGGCCGACAGCACATAGGAACAGCAGGGAGCTTTGAAGACACCCAGAAGTTGGCCTCTTGGTCAGGGGGAGGTCTAACTGCACCTTGGTTTATCTCTGGCAGCTAGAACCCCAACCCTGGGTGTCGGCAAGGCCTTGTGGTGGGGGGGGCATTCGGGGCAGCTAAGACTGGGCTCCCAAATCACAACACCCTCTCAAAGGTAAGTTTCTGTTTCTAGTACTCCCCCGCTTCCCCAAGAGAATCTGCCTGCTCCCCGATGTACTGGGTCCTGACCACTGCCTGCCCTGTCTCCGCACCTTCGGGGCTTTCCCAGTTACTGACCAGGCTCCCACCCCGGCAGAGGGCATGCCCTGAGGCAGGGTGTTTATGATCCGGTTCCTGGAGGCACCACAGCTATCATGTACCCCAATGGCCTGATTTTATAAATACATCAATGGAGACCGTGGAAGATCGGGTTCCTCTACATTTATTGCAACTGCTAAGTGATTAACATTCACAATTTCTTAGATTAAAAACAAAAACAAAACTTGCATTTTGTAACATCACAAATGTCTTCTAGGTTTTACCAAGGACCAAAAACACTAAAATTCTCTATTTGATTTCCAGTGATGGAAACAAGCCAGAGACAGTAAGCACCCAAAGTGGCGAGTTAGCACTTTCCGGATGCCTGTTGTCCTCACGGGAGAGACCCTGGAACTAGAATGACAAAAAAGACGCTGTGACTTTGACAAGGCCACACACCCACACATGCACTCACAAGTTCCCTGCAGAGCATCCTTTGCTGAGAGAGCAAGACTGCACAGGGGGCCAGCACGCACTGGTCCCCGGCCAGCAGCTGGCAGAGGGCACTCCACCATGCTCCACCCTGGCACCTGCAATGCCTCAATGTTGACTCCACAGGAGAAACGTCACGTAAGTGCTCAGAAGACTTTGCAGGCTCAAGAAGTAGGTGTTTCCTTTAATACTTGCCAAAGGTTCATGTCCCCAGGAGGAGTGGCAGGAGGTTGTGGGGACAAGGCTCACAACCTGGAAATGCCTAAAGCATTTTACTTGTGAATAAAAGTGGAGAAAGCCAAGAATGAACACACTAGCTAGAGTGAATATGACATTCAGAGCTATGCTCCAAGAGAAAGAGAAATGTGCTGGGGGATGCCCGTCTCACTCAGGCCAACAAGTACTTTGTGACCAAGGCCGTTCTCAGAATTCCATCTTGTGGCCCAACACACAGCCAACATGGAAGGCTGACGGAAGAACTAGGAAAGAGAGGAGTAGAAGGTGAACTTCCAGTGTGCTTCTCCCAAAACACACCACCCTTGCAGGCTGGTTTGCCTCTGCTGAAGGACCGCCAGCATTGCCATGGCCATAAAGATGAGCTGGATGCCAAAGCAATAGAAGTGATCTGGCTATAGCAGGCGGAGATCTGGCTACACCTGACATGTAGAGGTGGCACCAGGCAGGTGAGATGCCATGGTGAGCGGCAGGACAGACATCGATAAGACAGAAGCACAGAAGCAGGACTATAATTGGGGGGTCTGTGCTCTGAGAATGCAAGGGTTTCTTGGCAGCCAACACAAGCAGCTGACAAGGTAACTCACTGCTGTGTTCCTCTGATGTACCATCAGAACCGCAAAGTTATCTAGATTTTAGCACATATTTAAAACTTCCACACTGCTGTTTGAGGAAGAAGCGCTGAGGTTATCACAGCTTGAGAATTTAACATGTAGTTGCAAAGCACAGGGAGAAGCTGGAAGGGGTGGCAGTCATATGCCTCGAAAGAGCAAGCCCACCCTAAGAGGATCCTCCCTGTTCTGTAAAAGGGCCCTTACAAAACACTTATTTCCACTGCACACATGCAAAAAATGAAGAGTCTGGAAGAGTTTATCCCCACCCTTTTGTAGGAAACCTCATATGTGTTTAAAAAGAAAACACAAACCGTGGCTTTCTTTGTGGATTCTAAAGAGAATTAAAAATTGGGGGAAAGTTTCATCAGTGTCGTGACTACTCCCCGCTGAAGACAGCTGTATGGTACCGTTGCTGAATTGTGTTAAGTCTCTTGGGATGCAATTAAGAGAGGAGACTCCATAAATAACACATTCATGGAATCAAGTATCTCCACTTGTTCAGAGCTTCAGCACTCCACCGACAGGCTGCGGTGCCAGAGTACAGATTACATCCCGTTTAAGTTCTGGAAACAATAAGAAGACACAATTGGTAATCATTTCAGCATCAAGTCTGCTAACAGAACATTCTGGAGAGCAACGTGCCAGGCCAGCACCACCTTCTGTGGGAACCAGAAAAGACTCGGAGAGGACTTGCTGCCCAAAGCAGTTGGAAGAAGAGGAGAGGCAAAAGCAGATGGGAAGTGGTGCATTCTCTTTTCCTTAAGAAAAAGAAAAGCCAGCAGAATCTCTGCATCAGAAACTGCAGACATTGGTTTTCATGTACACACCGAACTGACTTGGGCTCTGGCTCCAGGGTGGATCCGGGGCAGAGGTGGCGTTTTTAGAATAATGGTTGCTTCAAGGCTTATCTTTCTCACCAATGGTTTTCATCTATTTAAGGAGAGAACAATTTTGTTCAAAACTGAGTTGGACATGATGAGTGAGGAGGGAAACTAAAAAGAGCGGAGAAAGATGAGGATATTCATAAGGTCAAGACCCTTCAGAAGGAAAGGATCTGAAGACCCTCGGAGAGGAAAACGGTCCTCTGCGGCCCCCTTCCAGGTCACCCTTACACTTGGGGGACACAAGACCGCTCCTGCGGCAGCCTGGGAGTCCTGACTGAGGCCCCGCAAGCAGGCCACGGGCAGCTGTGCTTGGCGAGTGTGGTACTCACTCCTCCAGCCAAACCTGGAAGGTGAGAGGGTGGGGGGACAACATCCGCATCCAAAGACTCCTTTTGTTTCCCTCATTTTTTTTTCTGAGGTCTGGTTTTGGAGTGTGGGGGACACCAACTTTTGTGGAGGAACCGTGGCTGCATATCAAAGTGCCAGCTTAGGCAGGTCGCCCAGCGCTCCAGCTCATGCACATACCTATTTGTTGGCTCGTTTGTGTCTGTATATCTGCATCATCCTCTGACGGAAGACGTCAAACGTGTCTTCCTTGTGCTCCTGCCCTTCGGCGCCCAACCCCTCCCCTTCGGAGGCCGTACCCCTAAGGAGCAAAATGGAGAGTTAGCCACACCTGTACCCAGACCGGCCACCAAGAGACTGGAAATGGCTTGAGCAATCAGAATGGACAGAAGTATGTGCGGCAAAGGAGAGGGAAGGTGCAGATGTGATCCCACAGGAACAGGGCACTCACCTGTTCGGGTGCTCAGGAGCCTGGATTACAGCAGAAAGCTCCTCCCTGCCCCCCCCCTCCCCCCCGGCCAAACTTAGTTATCAATGAAATAAATGCCTGCTGGGTGTTAGTGGATTTAACCAATTAACAGGGTTGGCCCCTGGTAGGGTTGCATATGGGTTTCCAGAAAAGGAAATGTGCTTCTTGGCTTCTTGGTGTAACTACCTAGAATCACCATTCAGCTTTTTGACAATGTGGCCAATGCCAGGGGCCAAGAAGCCATTTAAGAAATCTGCACAAGCAGTCTACGGCCATACCACCCTGAACGCACCCGATCTCGGAAGCTAAGCAGGGTCAGGCCTGGTTAGTACTTGGACGGGAGACATCTGCACAAGCACAGCAAGGAGCAGGGTGAACAACTGCCTATGGAAATGTCTGCTTCTCATCTCATCTGAAGACTCCCTTCGATAAAAACAAAGAATAAAACAACCTCCCCACCCACACACCCCAAAAAACTGCCAACTTTAAACCAAGTTCACCATGAGAGGGACCAAGAATTGGGCTGCGGGTGGAAGGACTTAGGGCCAGAATTCCAAAGGAAGCCCCTTCTTCTAGGCACCGGCACACCACCTCACCTCCCTCCCCGGCCCAAGTGCCTGATGCATACATGCCAACGGGCTCCCGGATGCCCTTCCCACAGGAGCCCAGGCCGTGGCCTTCCTTCCAGCCCATCTTCTGCAGCATCTGGAACCCCAGGTTCTTGTCGGTCAGCTTTTGCTGGGTGAAGTCCAAGTCCTTGGGTTTCTAAGGAAAGAGTAGAGTGCAACACGTGGGTTACAGCAAAGTGTCCAGAGCGAGAGCCTCCAGCATGGCCCGGCACTGACACCCTGACTCCCCGGATACTCACCGTCAAGCCATGGTCACCTTCCTAGTTCTCAACCTGAAGGGACAAAACACCTAGACAGCCGCTACGAGTTCAGTGACAGGAAGGGAAGCACACTCTGAGGTATGAAGTAGAGTGTGTGTGTGTGTGTGTGTGTGTGTGTGTGTGTGTAAGCGAGAGCATGAGATACTGACTGGATCTGGGGGAGAAGGGAGGTGAGGGGGTCTTGACAGGATGATGGACCGAAGTCCATCTGCAGGGCATTGAAGGAGGGACGCAGAGGAGGGAGGAGCTTGATGTTGGCTGGAGCAGGAAAAAGGGACAAACAGAAGTGCAGGAGGGATAGTGCAGGCTGAAGGCCAGGGGAATGATGGGCAGGAGTTGCTAGCCCTGGGGCACTAGCTACCATCAAGAAATGACGAAGAACAGAGGAGATGGAACCTGCCACTGACATGACAAGGGGTGCCTGTCATGCTCTCTCTCACACGCCCAGAAAAAAACAGCTGGGTGAATATAATCAGGGCACATACCTGAGTTGTGGATTCAATCCCTGGTCAGGGCATGTAAGGAAGGCAACTGATCAATGATTCTCTTCACATTGACGTTTCTCTCTCTCTCTCTCTCTCTCTCTCTCTCCCCCTTCTAGTTAAAGCATGTGGGTGAGGATTAATAAAATTAAAATACAAAAAAAAAAAAAACAACCTCACACATTACAGTCCACTAAATCTGAACCTCTTGAGGACCAAGACATTACTTGCTCATCTCTCCATTCCATTGCACATATCAAGTCTCAACTATCTGTTAAATGGACTACGCTTCTGTGCTTTGGACAAAGCTGAACATATTGTTTTAAAAAGCCGCTGAAGAGAAAAGGCAGTTGTTGTGCTTTGTACATTTACATCCAGTCTGAAGCATGGGTACTGCTTAATCACAAGCCACGGTGTCCTTTGAGACTCTGACAAATTCACACGAGGACTCACAAATAGTCACACCCACCTTCTTTTTGGACACAGGACGACCCCGAGGCCTGTCATAGGCGATACGAACTGGTTCGTGAACTGGAAGACAAAAGAAGTATATCTATGTTCTAATCCACATAAAGAGCTAGGTGGCATCACGACCAACGGGCACCTCTAGGTCCTCCCCTTCTCTGGCCCCCGAACCGCACCATTGGGGGGAGGGGGATTTGGCGGCGGGACGGGACTGGGGACTGTTTAGCGGCTGCTTTGAGGGGTGGCTGTGAGCTTAGCGGAGCAGTCACCCAGGCGGCAGCGAGTTTTGTGGAGCCTCATGGAGCAGTTGAGGGGCTCGGGGTGGGGAGCTTCACATAGCATCACAGGGCGGCAGAGGCCATGCGATGGAGACCTGGCTTGGCCTAGGGACCTTAACTGCGCATAATTTTGTGCACGCTGGGCCTCTAGTATATATATAAAAGCCAAGAGACTGGCCATAGCTTTGATGTGCACTGACCACCAGGGGGCAGATGCTCAACACAGGAGCTGCTGAGCTGAGGTCACTTGGCAATGGTGGTTCTTGGGTGACACCGGGAACCAGAGAGAAGGGAGCCTGATTCTGGCGTGTGTCACCTCAGAACTGCCCTCTCGCAACCCAGGACCCATCGGGGGATGTTTAAGAGCTGGTTTTGGCCCGATCCCCATAGGCCAGGCCAAGGGACTCCACCAGTGCACAAAAGGGGCCAGTGAGGGAACGTAGAAGGGCTCTAGGGAGTGTCCGGCTCATTTTCCCAGTCCTAATCGGCTGAACTCCAGCAGCAAGCTAATCTACTGGTGGTTAGCACGTATCATAGCAACTGGTTGATCAGTCAGACACTTAGCATATTCGGCTTTTATTATATAGGATATGTGCTTTCCCCATATTTGAGAGAAAATGAAGGCTCTACAATTTTTCCTAATAGCCTTTCAGCTGACAGAAGGTGTCTACGACATGCACAAAGGAGGTGCTTGGCTTAGCTCCTCTCAGGAACTGTGTAACCCTGGAGCATGGAAGCTGGGGTTCAACTGAGGGCTCCTTGCTGTGGGAGAACCTCCTTAAAAATAAGATGCCCATGTTTATGATTAAGGACCAAACACGTGGATCATCTTCTAGGACTACAATTTGCTTCACAAATGAACTATGTGCAATGCTATGTATGCCCTCCGGCATCATTGTGACTATCCTACTTTAAAGAATTAAAGTTCACACAGAACTTTCCAACAAAAACAATTGTGTTTCTTATAGAAAGCTCCAAGTCTCATTATTATTGTTATTATTATTTAGTGACAAAGGGGAGATCAGCAGGCCTTTTTTTTTTTTTTTTTTAAATCTCATCAACCACTCAATTCAAAAACTGAGAAATTCCAAAATAGAAAGGACTCCACTTTCCCCCAGTGAGGACATACTTAAGCATTCTGATACGCTACCACCACCTGCAGTAAGAGTTCAGTAGAACAGTTAGCAATCCACTGCAATGCCAAAATTAACAAACACAAACCATGGGAGTGTTCTGTTAGTGGGAAGCTATATTACACTGCTGGGTATAAATGTGACAGTCTCAATAACATAGAACAACATGGGTGACAAATGATGGGGCACTGTTTACAACCACCGCCACCTTACACACAAGTATCACAGCATCAGTCCCACACTTGAAACACAGCCCAGGCTTGGCTGTGCGGACACTTGGATGGGTAGGGCTATGAGGAGTAGCCTGGGCCATGATCAGCACATAAAAAGGCCACAAACAATAACATTCCACTTACTGAGCCTAGACATGGCAAGGCCAGAAAACAATCAGTGGTTGCTGGGGGCTGGATAGAAGAGGGGACTGTAGACACTTTCTGGGGACAGGCTCCAGCTCAACTATACTATGGGTTCATGCCTGTGCCCATTTACCAAAACTCCTCAAACTGTCCACTTAAAAGAGATGCATTTTATTGCTGGAAAATTGTACCTCAAGAAACTTAACACAGGAGAGCAGGAGTGACCTCCACAGAGCACATGGCTCCTGCTAATGATACATGAGATCAGCCCCATCCCATGTCCTCCCACCTCACTGACACAAAGCAAGTGTCATAACCCCGGCCTTCCTTGGCTCAGAAGGCTGGGTACCCCTCCTCCCCCAAGGCCGTGGGCAACAAACATCCGAGATGACTCGGGCTAGTTCTCTCATAGTCAAGGCTAACCTGCTGGAATCTGAGCAATAAGGGAGACCCTGAGCAATATGTGGGATCTAGAAGCCAAAGATTACTCGGCAGAGTCTCTTTAGAGTGCTATCATTAGACAAATGGAAAAGTGAGTTTCACACAAACACTGGCAGTGTTTTAGATTAGAACTGTTTTAGATTAAAAACCACAAAACCAGGGAGAAATCAAGATGGCGACCTAGGTAAGCACCTAAGCTGCCGCCTCGCACAACAATTTCAAAACAACAACTAAAAGACAGAACAGACTTCATCCAAAACCACAGGAAAGCTGGCTGAGTGAAAAAAATCTACAACTGAAAGAAGGAGGGAGGCTCACGGATCTGGCGAGCTGCAAAGTGCTGAGGTAGGGAGACGTTCATGTGCAGAGAGGAAGGGCAGCCAAGTGCCTGGTTGGTGGGAGGGAAAAGGAAGCCCCCGGCTGCACTGAACCCCAGTTCCGACTGCACTAAACCCCAACCTCATCCGAAACCCCATGGACCCAGGCTCATACGGGTGGAATCTGGACTGTAGAGAAAAGCACTCGGAGACTCAGAGACTGGGAGACTCAGGGAAGCTGGGAGCTGTAGCGGGCAGGGTCTACAGTTGTGCACGAGTAAGTGCGCGCAGAGAAGTCTGACCGCAGAGATTGCTGCAGCCCTCCATAGTGGAAGGAGTTGGAAGCTCCAGACTACAGAGACCCAACCCAATTCCGGGTGAGCTCCTGGCACACGCACGCTCTTGCAGGGGGAATCTGGATGGTCAGGAGAAAACTCAGGGGAGCCGCAGAAGGCAGAGGTCTGAGGCACGTGCACAAGGGCAGGACTGACTGGAAGCCAAGACTGTCAGCTCAGCCTTGAGACTCCAACCCATCCAAGCTGAGCACAGAGGCTTTTGCAATTTTGCAAGTCTGATCCTATAAGACTGTCTCCAATACAGAAGGTATCCCAGAGTAGACACAGCTAATACTCACATCCAATTGGCCTGGAGGTCAATTCCTTCCAGTGATACCAACAACAATCAAGACTTAACTACAACAAGGCTGTACACACAGTCCACAAAGGGGAGCACCAAGAGTGTCTACCTCAGGTAACTGGGCCATATAGATAGGACACCAAACACACAAAGCCATCCTATCAACTCAGGGAAGCAGCAAAAATGCCGAGACAAGGAAATAGATCTCAAATGAAAGAAATGTAGAACAAAAGACTGGATATAGAGTTCAAAAACCACAGTTATAAGGTTTTTCAAGAATTTCCTAGAAAAAGCCGATAAATTTTTTTTAATAAGTTTTTATTGTTCATATTATTACAAATGTTCCTTTCTCTCCCACCCCCACCATTGCTCTCCTCCACCAGGTTCCCATCCCACCCTCTGCCCTTTCCCCACTCCCCATTGTCCTCATCCATAGGTGCACAGTTTATGTTCAGTCTCTTCCCACGCCCCCCTCTCCCCTTTTCCCCAAGAATCGTCAGTTCACTCCCCTTCCATACCTCTGATTCTTATATTCAACAGTTACTATTGTTCATCAGATTTTTAAAAAAATTTCCTTGGTTTTTAGATTCACTTGTTGATAGTTACTTATTTGTTGTTCATAATTTTTATCTTTGTTTACTTTCTCTTCCGAAAGAACCCCCTTCAACAATTCATATAATTCTGGTTTGGTGTTGATGAATTCCTTTAGCTTTTTTTTATTAGTGAAGCTCTTTATCTGACCTTTGATTCTGAGCGATAGCTTTGCTGGATAGATTATCTTTGGCTGTAGGTTCTTACTATTCATCACCTTGAATATTTCTTGCCATTCCCTTCTGGCCTGCATGGTTTCTGTTGAGAAGTCAGCTGACAATCGTATAGATGCTCCTTTATAGGTAACTACCTTCTTTGCTCTTGCTTCTTTTAATATTCTCTCTTTGTCTTTTGCTCTTGGAATTTTAATTATGATGTGTCTTGGTGTGGTCCTCTTTGGATTCCTTTTGTTTGGAGTTCTGTGTGCTTCCTGGACTTGTAAGTCTAATTTTTTCACCAGGTGGGGGAAGTTTTCTGTCACTATTTCTTTCAGTATGTTTTCGATATCTTGCTCTCTCTCATCTTCTGGGACCCCCATAATTCTGATGTTGGTTCGCTTGAAATTGTCCCAGAGGTTTCTTACATTATCTTAAATTTTCTGGATTCTCTTGCCTTCTAGCTTCTGTGGAGGAGTGTCTTCTGGCTCTTTATGTTCCAAATCTTGGACTTGATTCTTGCTATCTTCCCTTCTGTTTTTAGGACTCTGTAAAATATTTTTTATTTCAGATAATGTATTCTTTATTTCTTGTTGATCCCTTATCATTTCTTGATGACTCCTTATTAATTCTAGTTGATCTCTTTTCATATCCTCATAGATCTTATCCATCTTTTCTAGGAAATTCTTGAAAAACCTTATAAGCGTAGATTTGAACTCTATATCCAGACGCTTTTTGTCCTCCATTTCTTTCGTTTGTGATCTATTTCGTTGTCGCATTTCACAGTTACAGATGGGACAGGGTTTCAGGGTGGAGCCTGCAGCTTTGGCTTCCATCAGCCCCGCCCTATGCGGGTCCTTCAGTGCTCACTGCCGGCGCCTCTGAGAGAAAGGTGCCCTCGATTTTCGCCTGCTGCCAAACAGTCTATGCTCTCCCCCAATGAGCCCGGTATTGGGGTTCAGTTCAGTTGGAAGTGGAGTTGGAGGTGGCGTTCAGAGCAGTCCGGAGCCCCAGTCTCCTTCTGGCCAGGGCAATCCCGCAGCACAGCCGACCGTCCCTTCTCTGCGCACAGTGTGCGCGCCTCCGGGACCTCCTTTTGCCGCTTCCCCGGGGTTCCACCTTACAGCCCAGCTCCCTATGGCTGAGCCTGAGTCCCAGGGGTCTGGCCTAGAAATGGGGTTCAGAGCAGTCGGGGGCCCAGCACAGTCGGAGTTTTATCTCCTTTCCGCTAGGGAACGCCCGCCAGGCACTCCGCCTCCCCCTCCTCTCCGGCTGTCCTCTCTGCGCGCCGCATCTCCGTACCTTGGGCTTTTCCAGCTCCTCCGCGCTTCCTTCTGGTCTTCTTCTTAAAAGCCAATAAATTTAATGAGACCCTCGAGGATATGAAAAAGGACCAACTAGAAATTAAACATACACTGACTGAAAAAAAAAATATTATACTGAGACCCAATAGCAGACTAGAAGAACACAAGAATCAAGTCAAAGATTTGGAATACAAAGAGGCAAAGGACACTCCTCTAGAGAAGCAAGAAAAGAAGAGAATCCAGAAAGTTGAAGATAGTGTAAGGAGCCTCTGGGACAACTTCAAGTGTACCAACATCAGAATTATGGGGGTGCCAGAAGAAGAGAGAGCGCAAGATACTGAAAACCTACTTGAAGAAATAATGTCAGAAAACTTCCCCACCTGGTGAAATAAATAGACTTACAAGTCCAGGAAGCGCACAAAACCCCAAACAAAAGGAATCCAAAGAGGACCATACCAAGACACATCATAATTAAAATGCCAAGACCAAAAGACAAAGAGAGAATCTTACAAGCAGCAAGAGAAAAACAGTTACCTACAAGGGAGCACCCATATGATTATCAGCTGATTTCTCAACAGAAACTATGCAGGCCAGATGGGAGTGGCAAGAAATATTCAAAGTGATGAATAGCAAGAACCTACAAGCAAGATTACTCTACCCAGCAAAGTTATCATCCAGAATTGAAGGGCAGATAAAAAGCTTCAAAGATAAGAAAAAGCTAAAGGAATTCATCACCACCAAACCAGTATTATATGAAATGCTGAAGGGTATTCTTTAAGAAGAGAAAGAAGAGAAAAGATAAAAATTATGATCAACAAATACATATATATCAACAAGTGAATCTAAAAATCAAGTGAATTAAAAATCTGAGGAACAGAATAAACTGGTGAATATAATAGAATCAGGGGCAAAGAAAGGGAGTGGATTGATAATTATTAGGGGGAAAAGGGTGTGGGGGTGCAGGAAGATACTGGATTAAAATTGTACACCTATGGATGAGGACAATGTGGGGGAGGTAAGGGCAGAGGGTGGGGTGGGAACCAGGTAGAAGGGAGCTTTGAGGGGGGAAAGGAGAAACAATTGTAATAACCTGAGCAATAAAGAATTATTAAATTTTAAAAATAAACAAACAAAAAAACCCCCACTGAACCACAAAAACAAAACAAAAAAACCCCCACAAAACCAAAGAACCCTATGTTGAGGAGGATTTGGGTGGTAATGTCCAGGTGGGAGGGTGGAATCAGAGGTGGAGAGGTAACAGGTCAGCTGGTTATCTTGTGGCTGAGGGTCAGCAAATTCTTCAAAACAGCCAAGCAATGTCTCTACCTGTTCCACAACCAAGTAGCACCGACTCCTCTTCAAGTGCTAAGCAAAAGGCTATGCAGGGTTCTGCACCAATGCTGGCACTCACCTTTGGGCTCTTGGATGAGACACAGCCTCTTGGGAGCCGGAATCATGCCGACCTTCAATGACTTGCTGCTGACCCTCTTCCGGGGAAAGCAGGCCTGGGATAGGCCAGACGTGCCAGCAGGGCCATCTTCAGCTGTCTCGCTTGGAAGGCCATCAGTCGGGGAGCTGCCCTCGGAGCCCTCAGACGTAGCTACTTCTCCTGAAGCCCTGGAGGGCCCTCCAGGAGTGAGGGCCTCCTCCTCCTCATCTTCCTCTTCCTCCTCTTCTTCTTCCATCTCTTCCTCCTCCTCCTCCTCCTCCTCAGGCATCACCTCTAGGCTCTCCAGCTCAACCTCCTGGTGAGGAGGCTCATTAGCAAATTCTCCTTCCCCTTCCATGGATTCTAGGGCGCTCTCGCTGGCATGGAGGTTCGGCGAAGGTGATGTAAAACAAATCGATGGGCACAGTTCAAATACCTTCTTTCGGTAGAATTTGAAAGCTGAGCTATTTTGGTCTTGTAGAAACCTGGGAAAAAGATGATACACATTGGTTAATCAGACAGTTCTCTGAACATTCTTATTTGCTGAAACTGTCTGAATGGACCTGATGAAGCTGGGGGTGGGACCAGGGAGTGAATAACCTGACCTCTTCCTACCACCAATGGCTGGTGGTGCTGCTTTGCAGTGAGATAGAAAGTTTGAGGAGCCAAAATGTGAAGCCTAATTGCTTTTCAGGGGAGGGAGGTAGAGGAACAAGGTATGTAGCAATGACCAGGAAATGTGCTGGAACGAGCTCTGACACTCAGTCCCGATATCCAACCTGGCCTCACCCATCCCTTTCTAGTGAAGCCACTAGCCCTCTGGACCTCTGAGCGCTCTCTGTGACTCTAAGATCCCTCTCACGTTTCCAGGTACAAGATGGAGGAACCCACGGAACTGCCTGTCTTGTGTTCTGCACAGAATCTGTTTAAACATGGTGGCAATAAAGCCTCTCTGAGTCTTCAAGTTTGAGGACCTCTTAGAACTGTAGTCACAGCTGGGGGAGAGGGTTGGCTGGTGTGAAAAACCAAAACATGCAGGAAGATACAAAATATACTTGGACCAAGGAAAAGACAGCCCTTGTTCTTGGACAGGACAACTCGACCTCATGAAGATGTCACTTCTTCCCTAGTTAACATATTAATGTTGAAAAGTATCTCAATAAAAGCATCATTTGTTTCTGTATCTGGACAAGATGATTCTAAAGTCCACAGAGAAAAATAAATATGCAAAGACATCTGGAAGAACTCTGAACTAGCTCCACCAGATATTATAGGTGTATAATGCTTCTACATTAAAACAGCATGGTACTGTGATTAAGAGGTACAAATTGGTAGCTGCAAATTAGTCACAGGAATATAAAGTACAGCATAACACATAATATTGTAATAAATATGCATAGTGCTAGATAGGTGCCAGAATTATTGGGGATCACTTTGTAAAATTATATAAATGTCTAACCATTGTACTGTATACCTGAAACTAATAAAATAATATTGAATGTCAACTATAATTTTTAAAAAAGCATGCTTTTTCCATGAATAGATGGACAAACAGACCAAAAGAAGAGCTAGAAACAGCATCTGATGAAGGGGGCCTCTCAAACCTCTCCAAAAAAGAGTCTTTTCAACAAGTGGTGTTGGGAAAACTGGGAAGCTTAAAAATAAACATTTAAATTGGATCCATGCTGCAACCCCTGCTCCCAAATAACCCCACACAGATTGGAATATAAACATAGAAACCAAGCCATACAAGTTATGTCAGGAAGTACATAAATGTCCATAGCCTTAGTGTGGGGAGTTTCTTTCTATGACTCAGTACTAGGGGTAATAAAAGGAAAAACAAATTGATAAATCTGAACTTCTGAAGAACTACCCATAGGCAGAGTGAAAGATAAACATCAAAATAAAAAGGAAATATATACAATTACCTCACAGATAAGAGCTCTTAAAAAATCAAGAAAAAAGCTGAAACCGGTTTGGCTCAGTGGTAGAGCATCGGTCTGCGGACTGAAAGGTCCCAGGTTCGATTCCGGTCAGAGGCATGTATGTTGATTGCAGACACATCCCCAGTAAGGGGTGTGCAAGAGGCAGCTGGTGGATGTTCCTCTCTCATCGATGTTTCTAGCTCTCTATCTCTCTCCCTTCCTCTCTGTAAAAAATCAATAAAATATATTTTTTTAAAAATCAAGAAAAAAGAAGCTCAAAAAATCCAACAGAAGAAAGGGCAAAGATGAAGAATTTCTACCCTCCTGGTCAGTGTGGTTCAGTGGTTGAGCATTAACCTATGAACCAGGAGGTCATGGTTTGATTCCCGGTCAGAGCACATGCCCAGATTGTGGGCTCGATTCCCAGTGGGAAGTGTGCAAGAGGCAGATGATCAATGAATCTCTCATCATTGATGTTTCTCTCTCTCTCTGAAATCAATTAAATTATATATATGAAAGATACTGCTGGAATGAGAAGTCAAATCAGACTGGGAGAAAATGCAAATCATATTTCTAATAAAGAACTTGTATGAAGAATGTACAATGGAAAAAAAAAGAAAAGAAAAGAAAAAAAAGCCCTAGCCAGTTTGGCTCACTGGATAGGACGTTCGTTGGCTGTGGACTGAAGAGTTTGATTTCAGTCAAGGGCACATGCCCGGGTTGCGGGCTTGATCTCTAGTGAGAGGGCATATGTGTCAGGATGGCTGATGGTCTAAGGCGCCAGACTCAAGCTTAGCTTCCCTAGTGAGAGGGCGTGCAGGAGGTAGCCAATCAATGATTCTCTCTCATCATTGACGTTTCTCTCTCTCTCTCCCTCTCCCTTTCTCTCTGAAATCAATAAAAATATATTTTTTAAAAAAGTATACAGTGAGCCCAGCGGGTGTGCTCAGTGGCTGAGAGTCAACCTATGAATCAGGAGGCCTGGTTGTGGGTTTGATCCTCAGTAGGGGGCATGCTGGAGGCAGCTGATCAATGATTCTTATCATTGATGTTTCCATCTCTCTCCTTCTTGCTCTGAAAATCAATTAAAAAAAGAACTCTCAAAATTCATTACTAAGAAAATAAACAGCCCAATTTAAAAAAAAATGGGCCAAAGATCTGAAGAGACACTTAAAGAGATACGGAAAGTACATGAGCACACTAGAAGATGCTCAGCATCATCAGTCCTCAGAAATGAGAATCACAGTGGGATACTCCCTCCCCCTCCCGTAACTGGGACAATAAAAAGACAGACACTAGCAAATGCTAGTGAGGACAGGGAGGAACTTCTGGAACTCTCACCCAAACTGTTGAAAAGGCAAAATGATGGAGTCACTTGGAAAGGAAGTTTGGAAGTTTTCTCAAAAGTTAAATGTGGACCCACCATGGGAGCCAGCCTTTCCCCTCCTCGGTATTTATCTGAGAAATAAAAGCAGTTGTCCACAGAGGTCCTTATACATGAATGCTCACAGCAGCTTTATCTGTAATAATCCCAAAATGAAAACACCTCAAATACTGTCAAACAGGTGAACAGGTGAGTAACATGCAATGTCTCACTTCTCTCAGCTTATGTATTATAATTTTTATTTTACTGCAAATGCTGTACTTATTTTAAAAGTTAAAAAAAAATGCCCTGGCTGATAGTTCAGTTTGTTGGAATGTCATCCTGTACACTAAAATGTTGCGGGTTCGATTCCAGGTCATGGCACAACTAAGGTTTTGGGTTCGAACACAGGTCAGGATGCAGACAGGAGGCAATTAATTGATGTTGTTCTCTCTCACTCTCTTAAAAAAAAAATCAATAAAAAGCATATTCTCCAGTAAGAATTAAAAAATAAAATTTAGCCTGGCCAGTATGGCCAGTGGGTAAGTGTCGACCTATGAATCAGGAGTCACAGTTTGATTCCTGGTCAGGGCACATGCCCCGGTTGTAGGCTCGATCCCCAATGGGAGGCATGCAAGAGGCAGCTGATCAATGATTCTCTCTCATCATTGATGTTTCTATCTCTCTCCCTCTTTCATTCTCTCTTAAATCAATAAAATACATTTTTAAAATTTTAAATTAAAAAATGAATTTAAAAAAAGCTCTAAAACTGAATATCCACAGAAACAAATGAATCTAACTATATGTCAAATTGATTACACAGTCACACACACAAAATGAATCAACTCATTAATGAGCACATCAGAGATATAAATCTTTCAGGGAAAAAGAAATACAAAGACATTTTGGCCGTGCCCAGGATGGTGATTTTCAAACTATTTTATGAGCACTGGGGGACAGAATGCATTACCCCACCAGATGTTGCTGTAGGACTCAGGAATCTCAGTGTAAGTAAGGACAGGATAGCATGTTCTGAAAAACATAGCTCAAAAAAAAAGGCTACAAAGCCCTAACTGGTTTGGCTCAGTGGGTAGAGCGTTGGCCTGCAGACTAAAGGGTCCCAGATGCAATTCCGGGCAAGGGTATGTAGCTTGGTTGCGGGCACATCCCTAGAGGGGGATGTGCAGGAGGCAGCTGATCAATGTTTCTCTCTCATCGATGTTTCTGACACTCTGTCCTCTCTGTAAAAAAATCAATTAAAAAAAAAAAGGCTACACAGAGGGTGAGGAATAAACCCAAGACCAGTTGCCTGCCAACTACCCAGGATGATGCCGTTTTCTTGCAAACTTTCATTTTAATGGGAAGAAAAGGAATGATAAAAGCCCTGGTTGCTGTAGCTCAGTGGTTAGAGTGCTGACCAGTGCACTGAAGGGTCATGGGTTCTAATCCTGGTCAAGTGCACATATTTGGGTTGCAGGTTCAATCCGTGGCCCAGGTTGGGGTGTGTATGGAAGGCAACCAATCTATGTCTTTCTCTCATTAATGTTTCTCTCTCTCTCCCCACCTCCCTCCTTTCCACTTTCTTTAAAAAAAAAAACAATGAAAAAATATCCAAATCAATGAAAAAAATATCCTCACATGAGAATTAACAAAACAAAACAAGGGCTTATGAAACACTCCCAGCTTCCCTGTACTGAGCTGTCCCCCTCACTGGCCTTGCCAGGGCAAGATCCTACATGCCACAGGCAGCCGCACTCTGAAGCCTGCAGGCGACAGTTCCTGAGGTCATCATGCCTGTAAAAGGCAGATCCAGGCAGAGTATTTGCAAAGCCATCAGTGCTCTAGGCAACTGGTCTGGGTCTCCCAAGAAGCAGAAGGTTCCCTCAGTGCAGTGCCCAGTCAAAGTCCAAAGTAAGCTAGAAGAGCATGCTCGGTCATCTCTGGGTCCAAGAAATGCACTAGCTAATGTGAAGTTTTAAACTGCATCTTTATTAGACTAAGGCACAGCTTTGCAGCATACTGGAGCAGGGCAGAGCCCCAGCAGACTGTAGGATACAATGTACAAAGCAGGAAACCTACCTTTTCCCTATGCACTCCCACTAGCTCTGAGGGGAGCCATAGGGTTATGGGTCAGTAACAGGAACCCAAAAGGAGACAATCTGTATCCCAGAGGCAGAGCTACTCCCTGACTGTGTGCTGAGTCTGAGAAACGGGGATAATGATGCACCTTCAAGTGCGAGGGTGCCAGGCTGTCACTGCTTGGAAGTGCTTGTTGCCCACACTTAGGCCAGGGACCACTATCACTCCATGAGCAGCAAATTCTTATCAGCCCACAGCAGCCAGTATGACCAGGGAACAGTGCCCTCCTCCTCCTCAGACCCCTGGGTGAGGATGCACCCTCCCTCATTCCACCATTGTTCTGACTGCTCAGGTCCTGTGGACACTGCCCCTCTGCCCAGGGAGCTCTCTCTCTTCCCTTGGAAAACTCCAATTTGGCCTTCGAATCCACTTTACATGTCCCTCTGGGGAGCTTCTCCCCATCCCCTCAATATCCCACAACAGATGCTTCTCCCTCCAGCTCTGAGCTCAGCAGAAGTCACAATTTACCCCACGTGACCCAAGGTGTTTGTCAGGCTACCTTTTGGCTCTCAGGAGATCTGTGGGGTGAATACACTCAAACCAGAAGGGTGTGGTGGGTACATACCACAGGTCAGGGTTGTCGGCGCTGTTTTCTATGCTGAATTGTTCAATCTCTGGTCCCACCTGAGCAACAAATTTGGCCAGTTTCTCTGCAGTCTCCATAGTCTTCAAGTCAACTATAAAACAAAGCAACTGTCACGCGTAAGAGTGCCACTTCCCGTGTAGACATCATGGGGCTGTGGAGGCTAATTACAAAGACAGTTCCTCATGTCCCCTCCTGCATATTTGCCTTCTGCCCTGTGACTCTGCAACTCTGTCCAGCAGAGGTGGACTCTCCTCTCCCTTGAACTGGGACTGGCCCCGAGACTCCTGCTAGCCAACAGGTATGGCAGAGTCCTGGGGCTCGGGTGCCTCTCTCAAAGGCCTGGCACCAACTTCAGGTGAACCAACCCAAGCAGGCTGCTGGGGGATGACAGGACATGGCCCAGTCACCTCAACCAGCCTCAGGCAACCAGCCGCTTGGTAGTCCTGGCTTATGGTAGTCCTGTGTGAAGCCACAGTTTGGGGCTGCTTGTTCTGTAGCAGCTCTGGGGTAGATGTGTGTCCCCCCCCCCCCATGTTCCCATCTAGTGCTGAGTGAGAAGCACTGGTCAGGGGCAGGCCTGTTGCAGAGCAGAAGGTAACAGCTAGAAGACACAGAAGGGGTATGTTGGTAACTTCAGAAGAAACTGCAGGTCAGCTAATTCTGAAGAGGGAACGTAGAGACCTAGAGGGAAGAGGCAGAACAAGAACAGCGCAGAACAAGAACGTCCCTATGGAACGTAAAAGGGGCAAGCACAAAGAGAAATGGATCAAGAAGTTCAAAGCCTCAGGCATGGGCGCATGGCATAAACTGGCAGTCAGCAGTAGGCAAGCAGTCATGGGCAGTAACCCTCAGGATAGAAAGAGTGCAACTGAGCTCTCAGGCTGCCCCCTTGAGGAAGCAAAAGGAGAGAAAGCACCATTTCATACACCCATCCTCGCCAGGTCGTCATTACTACTGTCCACTGCCCACTGTCCACTACCCAAACCACTGAGGCCATCCCAACTCTGCAGAGGCCCCTAGAGATTGGATATTCAAGACTGGGGCTCAGAGGAGAGAAACACCAGTGAACACCCACCGTCAGCAGACAAGCAGGGAGAGGAGCTCTGAGGGGCTTCGGATATGTCCACTCCCGCTGGCTTGGGGGATGGGCCTGCAGCTTCTGAGCTCAGGTTCTGAGGAGAGGGCCCGGCGGAGTCTGGCGGGCAGTCCTTGGCAGCATCATTTCCATCTGGCTGGGGCGGCTTTCCCTGCAAGGAGCCTGGAGCTTGCCGGAGGTGGTGTTTTAGCCGGGTGCCCGAGGAGAGGAGGGTCTGGGTTCCGGTGGTTGCTCTCCTCACCTTCCAGCCCTGGAGCCCTGGAGCTCGGAGCAGCCCCCGCCGTCGCCCTGGGAGGAGCCTCTTCTTGAGGCTCTGGACTGCCCGGGCATACAGCATGGCCCGGACTGCACATTCTGCAGCCATTGGCTTCTGACCCCCTCCTGGCGGGGTCTGGCTTATCCGCTGTGCTTCTGCCAGTTTCAGCTTGTAATAGTTATACTCCAGACTACTGTCATCAGACAAAAACCTATGTAACAAAACAGGCACAGCAGGACATTGCTAAAACACCAGCATGGTCACATCATTGCTGCAAATACACTTCTGCAACTCTTTTCTACATGATGGCTTCTCTACTGTTGAAGGTTCCACTTGGTTCCACCAAGGATCCAGAGCTGGTCCCAGGTCACCCATTTTGCCCAGTGACTGCAGGGCAACCAGGAGCTTTGAGCAGTGGTAGAATCCTCCTCTATTTCTGTCATCAGCAGCCACGAAGGACCTCATAGCTCCTGGAGGCTTAGCTACACAAAGCAGTTACCCTGGAGCCATGGAAGCATTTTGCTGCCAGGACATGACAGGCATTGCTCCTGGACTCCATTTCCGGAAGGTGACACTCTTGAAATGGTGGGCGCTCAGTGACCTTTTAACTATATCACTTACACTAACAAGCAAGTACTATATTTGTGATGAAAATGATTTTAATTTTAAAAAGTCCTATTCATGTGAAGAGGCAATAAGGCAAAAGGAAGACAGTTGAACAAATAGTAGCAATAAATCACAAATAGCTGCTGTGGCACATCCCTTATCTTACACATATTCTTTGCATATATATTGCAGCCTTTGGTAAGCCAGCACAGCAGGGATGCAGACTTCCAAGACTGAATGAGAGAGGCCACGGGGCAGGTCTGCGGCAGGGCTGGTGCTTGAACCCTGGTGAACCTGATTCACCCTAATGTTCTTCTCAGTGGTCAATACCATCACTCAAAATAAACACCTTATCCTTCGCTCTGGACACCACCAGAGCGACATAAATGCTGCTGTGTGCTCTATGGCAGGGATCTGGAGAGCTGAATTTCAAGACCTACCAGTAAGCAGGGTCTTCCTTGAGAAGAGCTCTCTCTTTAGGAGATAGGCTGCCTCCAACGACACGTGTGACCAGCTGGTTGATGATGTCTACCACCTTGTGATCTGCTCGCTGGGGGACAGCTAGAACACACAAAAGGGATTTTCTGAGAAACACTGGACCACATGTTGCCTTGGAAGACCAGGACAGAGTCAGGGGCTTAGGGTGGAGCCTAAGCAGGCACTAGCAACTGAAATTCTCACTCATGAGAGACCAGCTTTGAAAAGAGGAAAGCAGAGTGTTAGTCTAGAAACCAATATATACAACTAGAGGCCCAGTGCATGAAATTTGTGTGTGTGTGTGGGGGTGTCCCTCAGCATAGCTTGCACCCTCTCCAATTTGGGACCCCTCGAGGGATGTCTGACTGCCCGTTTAGCAAATGAATCCTACTGGGATTGGGCCTAAACAGGCAGTCGGAAAATCCCTCACAATCCAGGACTGCTGGCTCCCAAATGCTTGTCTGCCTGTCTTCCTGATTGCCCCTAACCGCTTCTGCCTGTCAGCCTGTTTGCCCTTAACTGCCCTCCCCTGCAGGCCTGGTCACCCTTAAGTGCCCGCCCCTGCAGGCCTGGTCCTCCCCCAACTGCCGTCTCCTGCAGGCCTGGTTCACCCAACTGCCCTCCCCTGCTGGCCTGGTCCCCCCCACAATTGCCCTTCCCTACTGGCCATCTTGTGTGTTGGAGTAATAAAATTACTATTTTATTAAATAAGATAGAGGCCTGGTGCATGGGTGGGGGCCAGCTGGTTTGACCTGAAGGGCATCCTGGATCAGGGTGGGGGTTCCCTTGGGTTGTGGAGTGGCCTGGAGGGATCTGTGGTGGTTTGTAGGCTGGCCATGCCCCCCAGTGACCCAAGAGGAGGCCCTGGTATTCGGGATTTATTTATCTCCTATAATTGAAACTTTGTAGCCTTGAGCAAAGGCCAAGGCAAGGCAGGGCTGCCAAAGCTTGGCTTCCTCAGTTGTCCAGAGTAGCACAAGTCTCCTGCTCTCTCCAGGTTCATGGCTGCTGCCATTTTTGTTGGAATTTATCTTCTATAATTGAAACTTTGTAGCCTTCAGTGGAGGCCTGGGCCTGCCAGGGCAGCTGGGAAGCTTGGCTTCCTCCATTGCTGGGGAAACCCAAGTTTCCTGCTTACTGCAGCTCTGTGGCTGTAGCCATCTTGGTTGGTTTAATTTGTCTACTTGCAGCATGAGTCCAACACCAAGGGAAAGGTGAGATAATTTATGTTAGGTTTATATCCTGATGCAGTGAGAGCTGTAAAAACACAGGAAGGGCTTTTGACAATCCTGTCAGAGAGTAGGTGGTAGCATTTTCAATACTGCAGGACTGCACTGGCAGACCCACCTGCCTACTAGCACCATGAGGGAAGGGTGGTGAGCAACTTTAGGTTACGGTGACTTTTTCCTCAGTATTACTGTTACACTGACTTTCTGTTCCACCACTTGGGGGCTGTATAGAGGAAAGGGGCCTGCTTCTGGAAGGCTCCCTCTGTGGTGGGACCTACCAGTGCTAGTGCAGTAGGTGCTCCACAAGCCTGTAAAGGAATAAAGAGATTCAGGAACAAGTGGGTTGGGGCAATGGAAGTGGAAAACCATGTCAGGAGGAAAGAGGCATGACCACGGCCTGTGTGCACGAGCCTGGGAGGTTTAGGCCTAGAGCAGTCATCCTGAGAACTAAGGAGTAGGGACAAGGAACACCAAACAGCCAGTAATGTCTATTACCTCCTTACTGGCCTGCCCCCTCCCTTGTAAGCCAGCTTTAACTGTAGATTATTAGGTGTACCTAAGTGATCTGCTGACCTTTAGCCAGTCTAGGAAAATGAGTGGGTGACTCTGTCACCTGGAACAACTAGGTTGTCCATCCTCAATGCAGCTCAAATACAGCTTCCCTTTGGCTTCCCTAACTCCCCAGGCTGGGACCTCTTCTACATCCCCTTTAATCCCAGCTCCGGAGGGGCTGATTGTGTTTGGGGGTCTTCTCAGAGACAGTGCCTAGCATTTCCTTTTCCTTCTAGGAATACCTGGGGGGGAGGGGGGCTGTTTGAACAGAGTTTTGTTTTGTTTTTGTTTGTTTTTTTAAATATATTTTATTGATTTTTTACAGAGAGGAGGAGAGAGGGATAAAGAGCTAGAAACGTCGATGAGAGAGAAACATCAACCAGTTACCGGGGATGTGCCCGCAACCAAGGTACATGTCCTTGACCAGAATCGAACCTGGGACCTCTCAGTCCGCAGACCGATGCTCTACCACTGAGCCAAACCGGTTTCGGCTGAACAGAGCTTCTTAACCTTGGATGCAGGATAGTAGAAACCCCTGGAACATGCAGGCAAAATTGTTAAAAATATATGTTGGTGGTGCTTTTTGTTAAATCTCACCTGAGGATATATTTTTTAAAATATTTTTATTGATTTCAGAGAGGAAAGGAGGGGAAGAGAGATAGAAACATAAATAATGAAAGAAAATCATTTATCAGCTGCACTCCTGCACGCTCCCCGCTGGGGATCGAGCATGCAACCCAGGCATGTGCCCTGATTGGGAATTAAAACGTGACCTCCTACTTCATAGAGCAACACTCAACTACTGAGCCACGGTGGCTGGGCTGAGGATATTTTTTCCATTGCTTTCCTTTTTTTCTTTTTGTTAATCCTCACCTGAGGATGTTTTTCCATTAGGGAGAGTGGGAGAGGAAAAGACAGAAACATCAATGTGAGAGAAGCACATCAAGTAGTTGCCTCCTGTAAGAACCCTGACCAGGGCACAGGCTGGGGAGGAGCCTACAACCCAGGTACGTGCTCTTGACTGGAACTGAATGAGGGCCCCTTTGGTCAGCATGCCTATGCTCTATCCACTGAGCCATACCAGCTCCATTGCTTTTCAGAGGGTGTGAAAAGGAGAAAATGTGTGTTGAGGGGAGAGAAACATTGATGTGAGAGATACACCGACTGGTTGCCTTCCGCACATGCTGACTAGGATTGGGGAGCAAATCCAAAAAAAACCCAGGTACTGTTCTTGACCAGGAATCGAACCTGTGACCCTTGGTTGCACGGGCTGACACTGTAACCACTGAGCACTCTGGCAAGGGCTGTATGTGAATTTTTCATAGTAAGGGCTGTGGCTTTTCATCAGATTCCCAAAGGAGTATCTAAAGACTCCTGTGTAAGTTGAAGATTCCTCATACATGCTCATGGACTGAATGCAGATATGTATACTAGCCAATGCAAGTTTTCTGCTAAAATTCTGATTTGTTTTCAGTTGGCTAAAGAATTCTTAAAAATCTCAGAGAATAAGAGATATTACAAAAAACAACAACACTCCACCATGAGCTGTGCCTGGTGTGACTCAGTGGTTGGAGCACTGGCCCGAGCACCAAAGGGTCACAGGTTCCATTCCCAGTCAAGGGCACATGCCTGGAAAGTTCATCTCCAGCGGTGCATGCAGAAGACAATCAATTGATGTGTCTCTCCCTTTCTCCCCCTCTTCTACTCTCTAAAAAAATCTATGAAAAAAATATCCCTGGGTGAATATTACAAAAAAACCAAACACCCCCCCAAAAAAACATACAAAAAATAAATAAATAGAACACCCATGAATTAGAAACAAATCGAAACATTTACTGCTTTCCTTACCATCACTTAGACCACTCAGAGCTTTGGCCTGAATTTCAGGTTCAGTAGGAGGAACCGTTTTCTCATCTTGAGTTGGCGCAGGTTCAGCTTTCTTGATCTGGAGTGGACACCCACTGTTGACCAGCCAGGCCTTCAGATGATCTATGTACTCTCTCCCAAACAGAGTGGAGTCTTCAAAGTTGGGGAATGCGGCAGGGGAGGGAGCTATATCTTGAAGGCCGACAGCTTCTAAGATTTTCTCTTGCCGGAAAGAAGAGGCTAAGGAGAATGTCTGTCCCAAAAGAGCTAAAGACTTCCGGCAGAGAGAATTGGTGGTCTCTAGGGCAATGGCCAAGTCCAGGGGGTTGCTAAGGGTCTTCATTTTGACACTCAGCTCGTAGGCATTGCAGGCCATGAGCAGGGGCGTGACACTCTTTAGAAGCCGGTCTTGCAGCCTCATTATGTACTTGTCAAAGGGCTTTATGATTTCAAAAAAGCAATTTTTGGTCTTCACAGCACCTTTGTCTAAAAGCATGTTTAAAAACTCATTATCAACTCTGGGCGTTTTCAAAGCAGAGTGCTTTAAAAATTTGATAGTAAAAAAGCAAAAATCTCTGTGCTCTGGTTTTAAGGAGCATTTAAACGAGGCAAGCATTTTAGCACAGGTTTCAGTTTCAAGTTCAAAGAGAGTCTGGAAAAGCTGGGAAAATTTAACATCATCTTTTATGGTGTGAAATCCTGCCCATTTGATGATTTCTATCCCAAATCTTGAAAAAACATCGGACTTATCTATGATATCAAAACTCATTTTTCTTCTTGGGAGACGAATGTCCTTTAGATGGAGCCCCAGAGGGATCTTCTGAGCAGGGAATTGGATATCTTCTGTCCCTGGGTTTACACCTAGGTTCACGTCAGAACTTGGGGTGGTTTTCTGGATTTGATTAGTGCCCTGAGCTTTGGGAGTGATACGATTTATGGTGGGTACTTTTTTTGTGCTCACATTCCTCAGGGTGACAAGTTTCCCAACCCCCGCTTTAGGTGTAAGCAGGCCCTGAGACTCCCCCTTTCCTAGGAGGGCACCCTCCTGGTCAACGATGTTTAGACCCCGGCCTCTGCCCTGGACTTGGCCACTGGCCCTGAGCACAGGGTCTGCCTCCCCAGGACGGTCCACGTCAAAATCCCGACTTTCTTTCTCCAAGCACTCTTTTTCAATCAGCCTGGAGGACCCAAAGTCCCCCAGTAGTGCAGAAGGACCAAAATTATATTCCTGCGACCAAGACGATTCTTGAGAAACTGGGTGGCCAAGGTCTTGTTCCCAAGAGCCTCGGAGTGTAAATTTCCAGTCTGGAGAACGGAAATGTCCCAATTTCCGGTGGCCAAAGATCTGTTCTCGGGAGTCAGGGTGGGGAAATTCCAGATCTCGGCCACAGTCTTTGCGAAAATAGTTGTCTTCATTGACAGAAGGATTGTTTGACCTGAAGGAAGGTCCTGGGAATACATCACCTCTCAGGCCTTCTCTCCCAGCATCTCGAGAGTGAGCTACAGATCCGCCCAGAGTGTATCTGCTGTCGCTGTGAATGTCGTCATACATATCTGCTCTGACTCTTGGCAGTGTCCTTATAAGATCTGAAATAAACAATCCAAAAGGAAACACAAAGGTACTTTAGACCAGAAGGTACAAATGGACAGTCCGTAGAATACCAACCAGCTGGAGTGCTTTATCTGCCTGAGTGCATTTTCAAAATTCCTATCTGTTGCCATTATTTAAAATGTGTGTGGTTTTCCTTAAACCTGAAATTACTACTTTTTATTCAAAAAGAGACCTACAAGCACTGGGCCTGCATCTATCCTGATGATACTGCATCAAGGCTGGGTAGCAGTGCTCTTTAATCACTCAGGTCTCCTGCCCTTGCTCAGGAGGCATTTGGCTTACAAGCCCTTTTTTAGACTCAAGGAAGGGTGTTTGGCTCTTAAATAACCTGGCTTTTAAAAATATATCTTTTTATTGACTTCGGACAGGAAGGAAGAGGGAGAGATAAAAACATCAATGATGAGAGAGAATCATTGATTAACTGCCTTATGCACACCCCCTACTGAGAAATGGAGCCTGCAACCTGGTCATGTGTCCTTAACCAGAATTGAACCTGGGACTCTTCAGTCCGCAGGCCAACACTATCCACTGAACCAAACCAGCCAGGGCAACCTGGATTTTTTTTTTTTTTTTTACTGTAACTGGGACACTACCTCTATCATGAAGCACACAGGCTTTTTAGAGGTTGCCACCCTCCTTGCCTTCTAGTAGGAACTCTCAGCCTATACTGCCACTGAGGCAAAAGCCACGTCTGACACTGTACCCACTACAGCAGACTGGGCCACAGCTGAGTGTCTGACCCAAAGCTGGCAGATACACTCCCTCTGAAAGGTTCACTGAGCCAATGATCCTCTGAAAAAAACAGAGGCTAAAGCAGATAAGAGAGAAGGCAGAAGCTAAACAAGCCATCAAGAGAGGCCACAATGGGAAGTAAATAATATGTGATTTTTGTTCCTTCCTATGTGTAAAATGAAGAAAATAGAATCTATATTTGCATTTGCTTATTCATGTACAAAGAAACTCTCTAAGAAGGTAGGAACATAAGCAAACTATGAGCCTCAGGGAAACTTTGCAGAGAGTCTTTCTAACCTTTTTTTTCTTTTTAAAATATGTTTATTGATTTCAGAGAGAAAGAGAGAGGGAGAGAAAGAAATATCAATGATGAGAATCATTGATTGGCTGCCTCCTGCACGCCCTACACTGAAGATTGAGACTGCAACCCGGGCATGTACCCTGAGTGGGAATTGAACCATGACCTCCTGGTTCATAGGTCAACACTCAACCACTGAGCCACGCTGGCCAGGCTCTTTCTAACTTTTAAATCGGAATCAATACCTAGTCAAAAGTCAAATGAAAAGAAAAGGGAGAGAGAGATGCCATGAGGTAGTAATATCAGCTGACTTCTGGGGATGTGCTCACAACCAAGGTACATGCCCTTGACCAGAATCGAACCTGGGACCTTTTAGTCTGCAGGCCGACACTCTATCCGTTGAGCCAAACTGGTTAGGGTGGAAGCCAAATCTTTATACACATCTAAGTTCATTTGGTCAGCAGTACTTACTGAGCACCTACTGTGTGTGGGCACTGCTTTAGGCACTGAAGTTAACAATATACAAGGGATGCTGAAACCGATTTGGCTCAATGGATAGAGTGTTGGCCTGCAGACTGAAAGGTCCCAGGTTCGATTCCGGTCAAGGGCATGTACCTTGGTTGCAGGCACATCCCCAGTAGGGGGTGTGCAGGAGGCGGCTGATTGATGATTCTCTCTCATCGATGTTTCTAACTATCTATCCTCTCTCTTCCTCTCTGTAAAGAAATCAATAAAATATATTCAAAACAAAACAAACAAAAAAACAAACAATATATCAGGGATACTTGGCATGAGGGTCACACTGTGGAAGAGCCTTCCAGGCAAAGGGAGTGTATGACCAGAAGGGAATGAATATACCAGAGGGAACAAAGGGCAAAGTGGTAAGAAGGCAGCTCCTAAACTCTGTTGCATATTGGAGTCCCTTTGGGACCCCCAGGCATCCTGATTTAATTAACTAACTAGCATGGGGGTGTGACCTGGACATCAGGGTTTTTTAAAGATCCCCAGATGATTCTAACATGGAGCAAATTTAGGGAGATACAGATGGAAGGAAGGTACAAGATCCAGTCTGGCCCTAAAAGGGATGCTGGAATAGTCTGAGTAAGACGGAAAGCCACAGATAGGCTCAGAGCAAAGGAATGATCTCACTGGCTACTGTGAGGGCAATAGACCAAAAGGGGAGAAAGTGAATGCTGATGTTCCAGCGAGGAGCCCACTGGGATGATCTAGGTATTAATGACTACTGACGATGTGGTGAGGGAGGTAGCATGAGAGGTAGAGTGGTGGCTCGTTTCTGCACAGCAGGATTTCCCGATGCCTTGTAAAACCAAGGCACTGGAAAAGTGCAAAGTAGAACAGGGACAGAGCAAGTCCAACTTGATGAACCATGCAGCTCTGTGACAAAGAGATGGTTCCAGAACCTTCTAGCATCCCGTTTGGTTACTAGTTCACCCCTCTCCAAACATTTTTGAGGTAACAATATATGTATTGGTGTTTGAGTCTCTAGATAAAGATACCAAGATTTATGGCTCTGTATACAGTGTGTCCCCCAAAAATGTATAGAGACATAAATCTGACAAAATCAGCTGATAGCTCAATTTCAAAAATGAAGTATATCTTAATAAACACTGCCTTTATAATTATACAAAGTGTAAGAATATATTTTTTTGGCCATCCTATATACATATACATGCACATATAAGTACATATAGGTATATGTCTCTGTTTGTGTGTGTGTGTGAGTGTGTGTATACATATATATCTCGGGTCTAGTAATAATTAATGTCGTTTTAAAACATTCGTTTAAAATCTTGCTTGGCGTTGACTTGTATTGACATAACCTTCAAACACGTGGTATCTACAGAACGTGTGAAGTGCAATTAACAAGTTTTGCTTGGAAAAGTTTGTGTTTGGTTTGGTTTTTGTTGCAAAACTAGGGCTAAGAAGATGGCGGATGAAGAGCATATTCGGCACTGCATGCTTTACGAGTTCCAATTAAGAAGAAAAGCAAGTGAGGCTGCAAAAAACATCTGTAGTGCTCTTGGTCAAGATGCAGTTAGCGCCAGAAAATGCCAGCGTTGGTTTGAGAAATTTCGCGAGGGAAATTTTTCGTTAGATGACAAGAGTGGTCGAGGCCGTGTGTCCAATTTTGATCAAGAAGCTCTTCAAGCTCTTTTGGTGCAAAATCCTCAAATTACCCAACAAGAGCTTGCGACAACTTTAAATAAATTGTTCACAAAAACCAATTTCCAATCAACTGCGTGCACTTGGCAAAGTCCAAAAGTTTGGAAAATGGGTTCCTCATGAGTTGACCGACAACAACCGTAATCAAAGAGTCACAATTTGCAGTTGGCTCCTCTCTCGTCAAAGCGGTTTGCCGTTTTTAGAGCAAATTGTTACCGGAGATAAAAAATGGGTGCTGTATGTTAATTTGAAAAGGCGGCCTCAATGGTTGGACAAAAATGAGGCTCCGCAGCCCACGCCAAAACCTGACTTGCATGCGAAAAAAGTGATGTTGTGTGTTTGGTGGAATTTTAAAGGAATTCTTCATTATGAACTTTTACCATCTAACCAAACCATTACAAGTGCAGTGTATAGTGCCCAATTGGAAAGGTTAGCCCAAGCTTTAAGAGAAAAAGAACCCATGCTGATTAATCGGAAGGGCGTAATTCTTCACCACGATAACGCACAACCGCATACTGCAAGAATCACTGCTGAAAAACTGCGCCAGTTGGAATGGGAAGTTCTCCCTCAACCTGCATATTCTCCTGATATTGCCCCTTCCGATTACCATTTGTTTCATTCTTTGCAAAACTTTCTTCTTGGAAAAAAATTTAATAATGAAGAATGCCTCAAAAATGCATTGACCGAATTTTTTGCATCAAAATCACAAGAATTTTACAACAGAGGGATTAAAATGCTTCCTGAGCGTTGGGCACAAGTAGTAGAAAACTACGGCAACTATATTGTTGATTAAATTTTGTTGTATTGTTTAAATAAATTCGATTTAAAAAAGTATTAGAAAACGACATTAATTATTACTATATATATAAACAAATAAGTATTCTGGGTTACATATTGCTAAAAGAATTGAAGGATGCACAGACTACTACAAATATAGTTACTTCTGAGGGTTAAGAAATCAGCTAAAAAGATTTTATATTTTACTCTTAACCATTTCTCAAGTCTTTCAATCTTTTATAACAGGTATGTTTCTGTGCACTACTCATATAATTTTTGAAACCTCAATCAATTGGTTTCTCCAGGTCCAAAGCATGTAACAATTATCCCTACTGCACGCACATTAGACTCACTCAACCAACGCTAAGAAACCCTCCTCCATTCCAAGGCTGGCTCAGGGGCTGGCGCAGCAGCAAACAGGCAGGCCCAGCGATGAGGCCTGAAGGAGGCCAGCCCATAACAGAGGAGTGAGCACACAGTGTACTTGGGGCCGGGAAGGGCAACCAAATCAACCTCAAGTCCTGCTGGGGCTTCCTGAGGAAGGCATGCTGGAGGGAATCAACCAGGCAGAGCGGGGATGAGGAGGGACTCAAAGCACAGAGAGGTGGCACAGTATCACTGAAACAAAGCCCAAAGTAAAGAGTAAGGGTTGGGAGCCTCATGCATGGTTGTGAGGGACCTCCACATCATCCTGTAATCTGTGTGGGCTCCATTTTTGATTCTGCTGGCATGATGTTTAAAAACTTTCCAAAGGGAAACATTTTCAGGCAGGGCCTATTCTCAGCAGCTCCATAACCCCTTGCACCACCCTGCAGTCTTGCACACATCGCTGTTACCTCCCTGCTCCTGCACTTGTCTGAGGATGTAACCCCAAAGTGGGAAGCCCCGAGAGTCCAAACAGGGCCTTGGCCCAGCAAGGTTGGCACTAATAGAACTGTAGTCAGGGCAGATTTGAGAGGAATGAAGCCAGAAGCTGAGAGACCGTTCAGTAGATTATCATTGAAATAATCCAAGCCAGAACTGGTAAGGGCTCAAACCTGAGCAGTGGTGGTGGGGATGGAGCCAGAAGATTAATTCAAAAACCTTTCTTTAGGTGAGGGAGGCTTTCTGGGGAGAAATTCCTGGTAATAATAACACCTTCTTCTACACAGAGACTTAATATGCAGATCCAGAGAAAACTTCATTTCCCCTTAACAAATCGGAATATAGGGATTGAAATCCTCCTGCTCTGACCCTAAATGCCTCCTCACCAGCCTCCCCCCCCTCCCCCCAGTTCCCAATCAAGCACTTTAATTTACCTTGAGCTTTAAATTGCAGAGCTTCACCAACAGCTTCCCCACTGGGGTCCATGTGGTATCTGTTAGCTTTTTCTTGTAGCACGGCATCAAATGTCTCCTGTGCAATTCGCCTTGTAGCCATGTTTCTCTGACCTGCAGCAGAGGGGAAAAGACACTAAGAATGACAACGAATGCTCAGAGAGCCGGCTCTCTACTTCACCTCATCTTCAAAGGAAGGAGGCAGTAATCCATAATCCAGCCAGGGGGGGTATAGCTCAGTGGTAGAGCATCTGACTGCATAATCTAGCCAGGTACTGCTGAGAAAGGTCGGATTATTTCTAGGGGTCTCTGCTCTCAGGAAGCTCACAGGTGTGTGTTGACTGAAAAGGAGCAAAACAAGTGCTGTATCTTGGAGGAGTTATTTTGTTTCTCTAAGACCATTTCCTCAGAATCCTTCAAAAGCTCTCTGAAAAAAAAAAAAAGTCCTTATCTCCTGGGGTTGCTGGAGCATTGCAAGAAGCAACATGCATCACTGAAGATAACAGTAAGGTCGTGGGAGCATAACCCTCTCACAGGTTTATGTGAAAAGGTGTGATTGTAACCATGTTCCAAACAGAGCCAACGACCCTCCAGAGAGAAACCTCCCGCAGGAATCCTCCACTAGTAACAATGAGCTAGTGACAGTTGCAGGGAAGGAACTCCCGTGACCTCATTTACTTGCAACAATCCAATGAAGTGGGTCCCCCGTTATGAATGACATGAAACAGAAGAGGAAAGGGGAGCCTTAAGCTACGTGACTCACCCAAGGTCAACCATCCAGGGCTGAAACCTGGCAAACAACACTAGTAGTGGGGACAAAGCCTGAAGACTAAATAGAAAAAGACTAAGAAGCCAAACACGGAGGAATCCCGTGGCGGCCCGTCTTTAAACACCAGATATTCCTTTCAACTTGAAACCTCCAACCCAAGACCCAAGCCTGCGCCTGCCTTGCAGTCTTCCCTCTAACCATCGCCTCCTTTTCCATCCTTTAGTCCTTTTCCTAGGGCGCCCCTTGTTCTCTACTGGCGAAGGGAAGGGTCTTCCCTGGCCCGGGACCAAATCAAGCGACCTAACCTCTCTCTATATCTCCGTTTTGACCAGCTATAGAATGGGCAGCTAGTGATGGGGGTTGCTGTAGGGACTGAACCCGTTAAAAATGGCAAAGGGCCCTATACAGCGAGCGCCCTGCCTCCGTGATCGCCTCACGCGAAAGGCCGCTTCGGGCTCGGGTGGAATGAATGAGCGAGGAACCGAATGAACCCCTTTGGGTGCGGTCCGCCGGCTCCCGGCCTCCGAGGGCGGAGAAAAAGGGGGTCTCGGGCCCCGGAGGCCGCAGACCGCCCCACCAGGCCGACCCGTCCGGGACGCGGCCGTCGTGCAGCCCGAGGGCCGAGCCCGCGGCGCAATCGCGGGGGGACACGGGGCCCGCTCCGGGCCAAACCCGAGCCCCCAGACCCCGGAGCCCACCCACCGACAACGCGCGGGGCCGGGCCTCACCCCGAGCCCACCGAGTGCGGAGTCGCCCCCGCCGACGCCAGAGCTCCAGCCACCACCTTCGCCACCGCCCCCGCCGCCGCCGCGCGAGGCGGGGACATGCAAATGAGCCAACGGTCCCTGCAGCGCCGCGCCGCGCAGGCGCAGGTCCACCCCGCGCCCTGGCGCGCATGCGCAGGTGGCCGCGGCCGCGCCCTCCGGTACCGGCGCGCTACCTGCTTCTTCAGGGCGGAGGCTCCGAAGGCGGAAAACTTCCCTGCAGGAGGCGCCGGGAACCCGGAGCAGCCTGGAGAAAGCGGCAGAGACACCGCCGCCGCGCACCTGTTTGCCTTCTTGGCTTTCCGTGCGCTCGCAGCCACCCTTGGTCCACCTGGGCGCGGGCCGCTTGGCTGGGGAAGGCCGAGGCGAGGCGGCGCTAACGAGCCTGCGCGCTTACGGCGGCCAGAAGGGGCCAGAGGCGGTGCCGCCAGTGACAGACGCGAGCCCCACCTTTCCCACGTGGCCGCGAAGACCGGGTGAGAAGCTGCAGCCGCCGAGGCCCCTCGCGCGCGGGGCGGGGAGTGGGCGCCGCAGGGCCGGGCTGGTGACTGTGGACAGTCCTTGAGGACTTGCTTTTGGAGCATGACTCTTACAGAAGCCGCCCTGGAGGGCGGAGGGGACAAAACTGCCCCCTTCCCTGGCCTCCGAGGGTTCAGGCCTGGGTACGGAGTGCCTGCTGGTACCCGTCCTGGACAGTGAGAAAAAGGTGAAGAATAAGATGGATTGGGCCCAGCTTTCATGGAGCTTAAATTTCATTGGGGAGGAGGCTAGACAATACAAGCAAATAAATTAATGAGCCATGTCGCTCTTGATAGAGATAATATTCAAATAAAAAAAAGAGATGCGAAAGGAGGTGGAGGCTGCTAACCAGAGTGATTATGAAGGATGTCCCTTGGACAGCTGGGAAGAATGAGAAAGAGGCAGGAAGCACAGGTGAGAGGTCTAGGTAGGAAAAGAGCTGGTAAAGAGACTAGTAAAGGGTTTTATTTTCCTAGGGTTGGGACACCACTGCTGGATTTTGATCAGGTAAGAAGGTGGTCTCTTTATGGGAATAGATGCTCAGGGTGTGGCTGGGAGGAAGCAGGCCAGGCCACCCATGAAGGACAGTGCCTGAATAAGGGTGGGTGTAAAGGGTGGAGGAAGATGAATCTTTCAAAGTCTCTGATGTTTCCATGTACCATTTTCTTGAGCAGAGGTCTGGCTGTCAGATAGGATCTTGCTATTTCTCTTCCTCCCCCAACACCTTGGACCCTCTCTTGGCCCTGGCTTTTCCCCAGGTGACTGACTCTCAGATGATCATCCTCAGGCACCATCTTTCTCATTCGTTCTTGATTGATGCTTTTGTCCCCGCCCAGCCTGGTGCTGGACCTAGGAGATCCCATAGGATCTCAGAGATGGTCCCAGAGCCAGACACTGATCACCCAGCTCTGGGGTGGGCAGAGGGAGGTTTGTGGGGTGAGGTGGGGTGGGGGGTGCAGAGCAAGGTCAGAGAGCACGGGCTCTGAGTAGCTAGGGAAGGCTCCCAGGGGGAGGTGCCCTGGAAGGGCCGGTGGAGATGTGGGAAGGGCAAGTTCCTAAAGGAGACCGAGCCAAGAGGGTTCTTAGCTTCGCACAAGAAATAATTCAAGATACGAGCCAGTCAAGAGGTTAGAGTGGAAGCAATTTTATTGAGCAGAGAGGACAAGCAAGAAGAGCTATTCCACACGCAGGGTGGTGGACTCTCTTTAAAAGAGAAGGAAGAGAGACCCCAACTGTCTCTAGCTTATATGTTTGTAGTTTCTTTGGAAAATTACTGGTATGGGGAAATAAAGAGTGGAAAAACGGGATTAACTTTAACCGTCACAAGGTATATTTTGTGGTCCCTTTTTTCTTTTATGATATGGCTAAATGATAATGTATGGGTGAGTAGATATTAACCAGTCTTCGCAGGAATTTTTTTTGTTCCAGAGGCTCCTTGTGGTCTGCTTGCATCTCTGGTCAGCCAAGTTCTGTCAGACAACATGTCGGAGGCCCCTGACTTCACTTTGACATTAGTTAATTTATGCAGTTCTCATGTACCTCTCCTACATTAGAAGTTCCTTAGACTAGAGGACTAGTGAAGGAAAGATGTTATGAGGCAGGATAGGTAGCATGATGGCCAGGCCTTTTACTGCCTGTATGGCCTCTGGTGGGCTCTTCCCTCTCTAAGATTCAAATTCCTCATGTAAAGTAGGCATCCTCCACCCACCCACCCCTTTTAAAATCGATTGTAGAGAAAGGAAGGGGAGAGAGAAACATCCATTTGTTGTCCCACTTATTTATGCGTTCATTGACTGATTCTTGTATGTGTCCGGACTGGGGCTCAAACCCCTAATCTCGGAACCATGCTTTAACCAGCTGACCTACCTGTCCAGGGCAGTGTGCATTCCCTTTTACAACTGTGCCTTTGTGTCAGGGTGGCTACTCACCGCAGGGTCTGAAGTGTGACCAGTGTGATGGAAGTAATGTCGAATGGCAGAGTCAGGAGTGGCAGGAACCAGCTTGGAAGTTTCTGATTCCTTGGAGTTGGCCATAGAACACCCCACCATCACCTGCCTGGACTTCCCACTGAGAAACTATCTCAAAACAGAAAATCCTTGCCCTAACCGGTTTGTTTCAGTGGATAGAGTGTCGGCCTGTGGACTCAAGGGTCCCAGGTTCGATTCCAGTCAGGAGGCAGCTGATCGATGTTTCTCTCTCATTGATGTTTCTAACTCTATCCCTCTTTCTTCCTCTATATAAAAAAAACAATAAAATATATTATAAAACAAAACAAACAAACACCCCCCGCCCCCCTGAAAATCCTTATGTTTTCCTTCACTTTGACTTTAGCAACTCCTGAATAGACTGCTTGTTCTGGGGCAGAAAGAAGTGGGGACTGTCTGCAAGGGAGGGAAACAAGGTGGGCTATTTGATGCCCTTCCACTTCTTTTTTTAAAATATATTTTATTGATTTTTTACAGAGAAGAAGGGAGAGAGAGAGAGCTAGAATCATTGATGAGAGAGAAACATCGACCAGCTGCCTCTTGCACACCCCCTACTGGGGATGTCCCCGCAACCAAGGTACATGCCCTTGACCGGAATCGAACCCGGTACCTTTCAGTCCGCAGACCGACGCTCTACCACTGAGCCAAACCGGTTTCGCCCTTCCACTTCTTACATCACAAAGAAATTGGCTACTTTACCTCTTAAGCAACAAAGGAAAGGAATTAATAAGTAACATTTATTAAGCTCTTACTCTATGCCAGATCCTGTTCTAAGTGCTTTTTAAGAATTAACTGGTTGAATTTTCACTATAGCCCTATGAGGTAGAGTCTGCATTTGTCCCTGTATCACCCATGAGGGAATTGAAGAAGGAGGTTATGTGGAGGGTTTGGGATTTGAATGCTACCCCTGCCGGCCCCAGACCCTGTCCTCCCTGCTGGCATGTCTGCACAAAGAGAATGTTCACATCCTGTGCCACCTCCGCAAAACGGAGCATGGGCTAGCGTGGCCTGTTTCCACAGAGCCCAGTTTGCCCTTGGATTTTTGCCAGAATCCAGTACCACTGTCCTAGTGTTCCCGTATCTTTGTCCTCCTAACACACTTTCTGTGTTGTGTGATTCTAGATTGGACCTGTGATCAGAAACAAATTGTTTTAAAAGATCGTATTAAGGCAATTTAGGAATTTGATCAGGGATTATTAGATCTAGAGCTGTGTTGTTTAATAAGGCAGCACCGTATCACTTAAAGCTATTTACATTAAAATGAATTACAAAAAAGTAAAGGTACACATTCAGTATCTCAGTTGCACTAGCTACATTTCAACTGTTCAATCCCAGATGGACTGCATAGATACATAACACTGTCATGGCACAGAGTTCCTTCCACTGGATGCATGGTCATATTCAGGTCAGGTTTTGGCAGGATAACTTCACAGGTGCATTTCGTCTGGGCAGGAAGAAGGTGGTGTTGGGTTTTTCTTTTGATATGAAATCATGAAATGGACACATACTGTGCACCTGATGTCAGGTTCATCATCTTTTTAATATATATATATATATATATATATATATATATATATATATATATATATATATATTATTGATTTCTGGCAGAGAGGGATAGAGAGCTAGAAACATCAATGAGAGAGAAACATCGATCAGCTGCCTCCTGCACACCTCCTACTGGGGATGTGCCTGCAACCAAGGTACATGCCCCTGACTGGAATCGAACCTGGGACTCCTCAGTCCGCAGGCCGATGCTCTATCCACTGAGCCAAACTGGCTTCGGCTGACATGACTTCTTCAGAAGCTTCCTTACATTCTGCTCTCACAAGATGCTCCTAGTTTCCCTGGCCTATTTCCTCCCCAGAACTGGAATCAGCCATTTCTCCAGGAGTCCTGGTTATGGTAGTTTGAGACCACGCTTGTGTTTGGAGTGCTTATTGCTGCTGTGGTGTCATTTCCTCTAGGCATTTTTAGTTGATATAACTATAAAAATTGGGGGGGGGGTACTTAAAAGAATATATATCATAAGTTTGTATTGATACTTCCAGTTCAGATTTTAAAATTCTGAGTTTTTTACTTTGATTTTCTTACTTTAGAATTTTTTTTCTGTTATGCTGGCACCTAATGACATAAACCTTATTACTTATTTGCTATACCTACAGTAGTTTCATAATAACATTAATAATGTAGATTTTCTTTTGTATTTTATACTATCCTAAGCATATCTCTATATATAAAAAGGCAGTGACTATGACGACTGAAGGCTTCACTGAACACTGGAAGTCAATCCTGCAGTCAATGCTGGGTTGTCTTGGTGACCCAGCACTGACTGCTGCCACTGCAGGCACAGAGACCCAGCACTGACTGCTGGGGAGGCTATGGATCGGGCCCAGAGAGAGGCATGGAGAGAGAAGCAGGGTCTGATCCGTAGCCTCCATAGCAGCTTTTGAACAGCCCTTGCCTCTCTCTTTCTCTCTGGGCCTGGCCAGCAGTGTCCTCTCTTCCTCTCCAGGCCTCCGCATGGGGGCTACTGATCAGCCCTGTCTCTCTGATCAGGTCCGGAGATAGGCCCAGAGACACTGACTGGCATAGAAACCGACCAGTCAGAACTAAATCTGGGTGAATTGTGAGCAGCCATTGGCTGCCTAGAAGGCAGAGCTTTTCACACTGACTAGCATAGAAACCAACTAGTCAGAACCTAAACTGGGTGAACTGCGAAGACAGAACCTAAGGTGGGGCTGAGAAGGGGTTTTAAGGCAGTAGGGGGTGAGATCAGGTCGGCAGGGGAGGGCAGTTAGGGGTGATCAAACAGGCAGAGGCAGTTAGGGGCAATTAGGCCATAGGGGAGAGCAATTGGGGGCGAGATCAGGCCGGCAGGGGAGGGCAGTTGGGACTGACCAGGCCTGCAGGAGAGGGCAGTTGGGAGTGACCAGGCCTGTAGGGGAGGGCAGTTGGGGTGACCAGGCTGGCAAGGGAGGGCAATTAGGGGTGACCAGGCCAGCAGGGGAGGGCAGTTATAGGTAATCAGACTGGCAGAAGAGCAGTTAGGTGTCCATCAGGCTGGCACAGGAGTGGTTAGGGGGTCATCAGGCTAGCAGGCAGAAGTGATTAGAGGCACTCAGGCAGGCATGTGAGTAGTTGGGGGCCAGCAGTCCTGGATTGTGAGAGGGATGTCTGACTGCTCTTGAGGGGTTTCAGATTGGAGAAGGTGCAGGCTGGTCTGAATTTCATGCACCGAGCCTTTAATATATATATAAAAAGCCAGTGTTCCAAAGACTGGAACAATCAAATGACCAGTTGCCATGAGGTGGCATAGACCACTTCTCGGTCCTTCTCTTCCCTTGCCGGCCTGTGAGCGGGGCGAGAGCAGGACTGGTGACTGGTGAGCCGGCTGAACTGCTGACCTCTTGGTCCCTCCCCGCAGCCCGTAGGCTCCAATGGATCAGCTATGGTGAATGGAGGAATCGGGGTGGTGGCGGGAGGACTGGCTGGCTGTCAGACCTTTGGGATCACCAGCTCATCCCTGGCTGCTTGGGGGCTCAGGCCTGCGGGAAAGTGGGCGTTGTCAACTTCACCTCCATGTGCGTGTTCGGGGGGCCAATCGCTGATAAAATGTGCTATCAGCTCAGAGCTGCTTGGTGGGTAGGTTGTGGGCCCGACCTGCAGCCTCTGTCAGTGCTTCAAGCCCCAGCAACAGTGGTAGCAGCAGTGGTGGCGCCTGCATGAGTGGCCCAAGCAGGCAGTACATTCCATCAGCTGCCGGCCAAGCACATGTTCACATGCGCATGGAGGTGAAGTCTCCAGAGTGTATTTTCCTGCAGGCCTGAGCCCCAGAGCAGCCAGGGATGAGCTGGTGATCCTAATGGCCTGATAGCTCATCAGAGGAGGCGGCCTTTGGCCTGGGGACTGGCGAGTAGGCAGAAGATGGCCCTGATTGCAGGAGGCTTGGCCTAGGGACCCTACCCGCACGATTTAATTGTGCGCCGGGCCTCTAGTATACTAATGAGCATGTACGGTCAAATCGCTGTGTTTTAAAGTCACATGAAGTGGTCTGATCAGCACAAATACACTCTTAGATTTGTGGGCTTCATTTTATTCTTGCGGGTTTTTTTTTATTGCTTTTCTTTTTATTGGTTTACCTCTTTTTCTAACCACATGAAACATTTATATGGGTTCCAAATTCAAACCTGTAAGACAAAGTAAATTCAGAGAGAACAATCCAGCTTCTAGTACTATCCTCAGCACCCTTTTCTCTGTCTCTCTTTTCAAGTAACTATTTCTATTAGTTATTTAGTTTTCCTCTTTGTTAATTACTTTATTAATTTTTATTTTATACTGTTATTAGAATAACAGTATATTATTATAACAATACTGGATGCCCAATGCATGAAATTTGTGCACTGGTAGGGTCCCTAGTGGCTGCAGGCTACTGGTTGGGTACTCCCTCCTTTCCACCCCAAAACCTCCATCCAACTAGTTGAGCCACACTGGCCAGGGCAATATTCTCCCTTTCTTATAAAGTACTAGAGGCCCATTGCACAAAATTCATGCACTGGGGTGGGGTCCCTCAGCCTGGCCTGTGCTCTCTAGCAATTCGGGTTCCCTCAGGGATGTCTGCTTGCCAGCTTAGAGTGGGCCTAAGTTGGCAGTTGGACATCCCTCATGCAGTCTGGGACCCCTCGCTCCTTACTGCCTGTCTCCTGCTCCTTAGTGCTGCCACGGATGCAGGAGAGGCTCCTGCCACCACCACTGAGCTTGCCAGCCGTGAGCCTGGCTTCTGGCTGAATTGTGCTCCCCCTGTGGGAGTGCACTGACCACCAGGAGGCAGCTCCTGCATTGAGCATCTGCCCCCTGGTGATCAGTGCACATCATAGCGACTGGACGTTCTGGTCGTTCCACTGTAACGGTCACGTAGGCTTTTATTATATAAATATATAGTAAACTACTTGCCCTCTTCTGCACTTTTAAAAGTTCTAGGGGTGTTGGAATATCAACCTATCATGTGATGCATGTTGTAAAATTTTTTTCCAGATGTTCATATCACTGCAGCCCCAGTAGATACTCCTTAAATAGTGATCGGGCTCCCAACTGCCCTCTTGCCCTCAAAGAAGCTTTCTTTTCACCTTAACTTCTCAGCTCAAGAGCATCTGTTGGGTGCCTACAGCCCATGAGGAAGGGATGAAGATGGCCACCAAGCGGATTACCCAGGAGACGTTTGATGCAGCTGTTCGTGAGAACATCGAGGAGTTTGAGATGGGGCCAGAGGAAGCAGTGACAGAGGCTGTGGAGCAGTTTGAATCACAAGGTAGGGTGGTATGGCTCGGTCACAGCACAGATCCATCAGTTTGCCTGACAGTCCCGTCTGGTCCACTGCTCTTAATGTGTTAGAGTGCTGTCCTGCTGTGGCCCCACCTCACCTGACATGGGCCCCGTACCCTCTCCAGGTTCTGACCTGGGCAGGCTGGCTACCTGCTCCCACCTCCCTGGGTGCCTACCCTCTACTTGCCTGGGCCTTACCCAGACATCTGCAGGGCTGCATACTTCAATATGGGTCTCATTTTAGTATATGTGCTGCCGAAGCGAGCACTGGGCCTCATTTTAATTGTCACTTGCGTGAAGAGGCTTTTCCTGACCAGGTCCCAAGAAACAGGGCCACCTGCCTCCCCACCCTGGCTTGAGCTCAAGAAGGCATAAGTGGGTGTCAGTCACCTACCTGTAGAAACAGGTGTTATGCTCAAACCAGGCCACAGAGGGGAGTGGTTTCAAAAAGGGTTATTTAGCCCAGCCAACTGTGGCTCAGTGGTTGAGTATCGACCTATGAACCAGAAGGTTTGTTTCCCAGTCAGGCCACATGCCTGGGCTGTGGGCTCCATTCCCAGAGTGCAAGGCAGCTCATCGATGATTCTTTCTCATCATTGATGTTTCTGTCTCTCTCTCCCTCTCCCATCCTTTCAGAAATCAATTTTAAAAAATATTAAAACAAAACAAAATGAGTTGTTTGTAGTGGCATGGTTGGGAACTAGGAGACCCTATAGGCCACTGTAGGGAGTTCTCCCACCCCAGGACAGGGCTTTGTCAAATGACAAAGGATGAGTCAGGGAGCTGGAAATGAACGCCGGCCCTTTCACTCCAGACCAAGAGTCGGATTCCCCGCTGGCCAAACCCAAGGGAGACCAGGTATTCAGCCTCAGAGGTCAGAGGCTGGTGTCCTGGCCTCAGAGTGGGATACAGTCACTGAATAATGGCTGGAGGAGTACTCAGAAGTATCCTTCCAATGATGGCAGGGATATAGCCAGGGTGAGGAATAACAGGAGCTCCAAGGGAGAAGAATCCCCTCCCTTCTTAGCCCACCAGGCAGAATGTGCCCCTTGCTGCAGTGATGGCATGCAGCCTCACTGCTGTTCTACTCCCATTGGCTGGACAGGCTGAGGAGTAAAGACCCACCCCCTTCACCTCGCACCTCCATATGGACATGGCTGTTAAGCCTGGCCTCTGTGGGGAAGGGAGGGGATGGGTACCTACAGAGATCCCAGAAGTCCTCCTAGTGGGTGAGACCAGCAGAAGGGACTTGAGGCCTGCCGGGATGATGGCTGTAACTTGTTTCCTCACTCCTCCACCCCCCTGCAGGGGTCGAACTGAGCAACATTATAAAGATGGCGCCCAAAATCTCTGCAGATGGACTACAGGAGCCTATACACGACATCCTGCAGGTAGGAGGAGGTGGCCCATGTGGTCAGGGCTGACCTTACATGCCTGTTCCCATACACGTCACCTTCTAATAGCCTGTCAGAGGCACCTTTTCCCTGGTTTCCACTCTGTGGGAGGCTAGGCCTAGGCTTTGAAGGTCAGAGAATGGCCAGCGTTTGCAGGTGGGCCTGAGTTTGCATCTAGGGCTCCCTGAGTCCATGTCTGAGAGTCTCTCGGGGGTGGAGGGCACCATGGAGGAACCTCTTTTTAGCTTTCCGACCAAGTTTGCTCAGAGAGAGTGGGATCATAGTAAGGCTGTCATCTGTGACTATTTACCAGAACATTACAGCCTTTCCCTTAGCACTTAAACTGGCCTGTAGAGTAGGCGGTATTGTTCCTGAATTACTGATGGGGAAATGGAGACTCAGAGCCTGCTCTGGCTCTCTAGTAACCCAAACAAGGAAGGTATACATTAGGAATTGAACTATGTTTTTTTCTTTCTAGAGATGTGACATATGTGTTTTCTGGTCAGTAATGTCCTATCAAACATTGTGCTAAGCCAATGTACTAAATCAAAGCAGATAGACGAACAGGAAAACTGTTTGCTATTTCCTATTCCTGCTGAGCTAAACTATAATAGTAGAACATTGTCGTAGTAAGATTTTGATAGGCAGAGGAATTGCAGACTCTCTACGTCAATGGAAAACCTAACAAGATTTATACAGGAAAAGCTGAAGCAAACTTACATAACCACTTAATATGCTATAATAAAAGGAGAAAGTAATACCTTTATTCTACTTCTGGTATAAGCGCACATTCACTGGTGCCCAGTGAAAGAAGCACTGACATAGAAAGCATTTTCACTTTTATAGCAGTGACAGCAGAAAAGCACACAGCATATAATATGTTGATCTTAAAGTAGGTAGGTATTTGTGGAAGTTGCAAAATTAGCCTGAATATTCTGTAAAATATTTTTTCAAAAATGCTTAAAAGAGAGTTCTAGAAACAGTGAGGCTACCTCAGGACCAGCAAAAGACATAGTGATTCAGGGACTGCAAATGTAAGACATCACTGGGAGGGTTTGATCCTCGGGCCAATGGGTTGGAGGATTGGCTGCTATTAGAGCTGAAGAGCTGCTATGCAAGAACCAACCCATGGAGCAGGACTTGCTTTATTGGGACTTTGATTCTCACCGAGTCCTCCCTGGAGTGTGTCACTTGTGGAAATGGTAAAGTTGTAATCTGGCGTGTCTGAAGCTGACCATCAAGTGCACTTGCTCTGGTGCCTCTGGGAGGTAGAAAGTTAGCCACTGCCTGTGTCCTGCCCAGGGTCACTCAGCAAGAGCTACAAAGCAATCTGCAGATGGCTACTACTTGTGTTGGGTTTGGAGGTGTCCCGGAGAGGCCAGCCTCTGAATTAAGGAAAGCTGCTGCTAGTGCTGGACCTGGGGCCATTTATTGAAAGATATGGGGTATGCTGAGGCCATCTGCAGCTTGTTTAAGAGATTTTAGGAAAGTCCAAAGCATGAGGCAAGAGAGACCTGTTGTACGGCAAAGCCCCTTAGATGAGCCTGCAAGTAGGGATATGCAGGGTCTCAGGGAATCATTAGGGTGGGCAAAAGTGTGAACTGGCTGATGGAGATTTAGGTACTGCCCCTGCCTGTTAGCTCTGTGGCGGGGAGGACTCATCAGAGAAACAATGGCCTCTGCCAGCACTTCTGTCTGGGGGAAAGCTGCCCCTCCAGCTCTTGCCCTGATTCCAGACAAGTTAGTTCCTCCCTGTATGTCCCTGGTTTCTTTCAAGCTACTACCCTGTGTGGGCCCTTTAAGAGGAATTGCCTAGGGCTACAGCAACCTCCATGTCACTCAGTCACAATCCCTGCTAGTATAAAATTTTTATTTATTTATTATTGATTTCAGAGAGGAAGGGAAAGGGAAACAGAGATAGAAACATCAGTGAGAGAGAATCATTGATTGGCTGCCTCCCGTACATCCCCTACTGGGGATGGAGCCTGCAACCTGAACATATGCCCTGACTGGAATCGAACCATGACCTCCTGGTGCATAGGCAGACACTCAACCATTGAGCCACGCCAGCCACAGCTGAACCACAGCTTTTTATTTATTTTATTTTTCTTGATTTCAGAGAAAAAGGGAAAGAGAAAACATCAATGATGAGAGAGAATCATTGATTGGCTGCCTCCTGCATGCCCTCTCCTGGGAACTGAGGCCACAACATGGGCATGTGCCATGACTGGGAATCAAACTGATCTCTTTGTTCATAGGTCAACCCTCAACCACTGAGCCACACCTACCGGGTTGTACCACAGCTTTTTTATCCACTCATCTACTGATTGTCACTTGGGCTGCTTCCAAATCTTGGCTATTCTAAATAATGTTGCACCTATTCTTTCCAATTATTGTTTTAGGTTTCTTCAGATAAATTCCCAGAAGTGTTATTGCTGGGTCATAAGGCAGTTCCATTTTTTATTTTTTTTGAGGTCACTCCATACTGCTTTTCACAGTGTTCCACCAATCGGCATTCTTACCAACAGTGCACAAGGATTCCCTTTTCTCCACATCCTCACCAACAGTTTGTTGATTTATTGATGATAGTCATTTTGACAGATGTTGTATGGGTTTGTCTGAAGGCTCCTGTTCAGGCAGGCACTGAGGTCATGGTGTTGAATTGCAGTTAGACTTTTCTGTCTTGTTCAGATTTTTTTAAATTATTGTTATTTTCCCCCAGGTGCTTAGAGTTGAATTTGAGTGAATCAGCTGTTTGTACAGTATAGTTTTATTTGGCTGATGCTCAGTAAATATTTGTTGAGTGAATGAGAGAGATAAACAGGAGACATGTTATGGGCAGGCCTAGCAAAGGTGGCTTTCACCTTTTTTGGAGAGCTGGCCATTGGAAGTTGTATCAGTTAGTTATGGCTTATAAGAAGCAACCCCAAACAACAGCCATTTTATTGTTTCTTATGATTTTACTGGGTTGACTGAGTTCAGTTGGACAGTTCTGTTTGTTTTGCTTGGGACCCCACATGCAGTGGCAGCCATGGCTGGGATGTTTAATACATCTGCACTTATATGTGTGGCTCCTTGGCAAGGACACTGAGAGGCCTGGACCTATGAAACTCAAGGCTCCTAAAAGCACAGGCATAGAAGCTGACATGGCCGGAACTGGCCCCTGAAACTTCCAGTGTAGGCCCAGACCTCAGGGGTACAGCACTGTCACTATGGCCCTCTTTGGACTGAGATGACACTGAAGTTTCTCCCATGTTTTCTATTTTTTTTAAAAAAAAATTTTTATTAAATTATTATATGTGTACATATCTTACCATTACCCCCATCCATGTTTTCTAGATCCTAGAAGACCTTCGGGAGTCTGTGACCTGCTATTACCCCCAGAAGGTGTCAGTACAACTTACCCGCTTTTGTGAACAATGCAAGCAGCACAAGGGCTGCCGCTTTCTGGCAGCTCAGAAGGGTGCCTACCCCATTCTACTTGCTGTCTGGAAGTTGGCTGCAGAAGGTGACCAGGGACTTCTGCTCCAGGCTCTCAACGCCCTATCAGCACTGATCAATGGCCAGCCCGACCTCTTGGACACCCAGGGCCTAAAGCTGCTGGTGGCCACGCTGGACCAGAATGCCGATGTGGTTGACCTGACTTGCTCTGGGATCCGCTGCATACGCCATGCTTGCCTGAAACATGAGCAGAATCGACAGAGTCTGGTGAAGGCTGGTGTGCTGCCCCTATTAACTGGTGCTATTGTCAGGCACAGCCGCTGTGCCGACGTGGTCAGGGAGGCCTCTTGGGCCCTCCGCATCATGACTTTTGATGATGACATACGTGTGCCCTTCGGCAGCGCCCATGATCACGCTAAGATGATCGTGCAGGAGAACGGAGGCTTGAAGGTGCTCATTGAGGCTGCCAAAGGTAAGGAACAGATGTGGTAAGAGTTAGAGTCAGGGCCTAGAGCTGCTTCAGGCATAGCATGGCTGGCTCTAGGCTCCATTTGCATCTCTTGGCTTCATCCTACCTGCATGGTAGCCCTTATGGAACAGTATTCTTACTCCTAGTTGTTCCAGGGGAGCCAGCACTTATTGGCCAGGACCAAGTCCTGTGGATATGTCTAAAGCCATTTTGGGAAAGGACTCAGCTCTGTCCGACCAGATTGAGAGTGGGGAAGAGGTCCCCAAAGGGTGTTTCTCAAAGATGGGGGAAATACTGCTGGCATTCTCTATGGCTGGTCCCAGGTTGCTACACTTTGATTCACATTTGGCCACCAATTCTTGTGTACATATGTATTCCTAACTCCAGGGTAACCATGAGCCTGTCATGGGAGGTTGCAACACTGACATTCAGACCGCAAAGCACCAACTCCCATCCACTGCACCCACCAAAAAAGGCCTGACAGGTCTGGTGTACTGAAGGTGCTGGAAGAATGAGTTCCCTTTCCCCACTGGCTCTTGTCTTGTCTGCCAGAGAGATGGCCTGCCTCAGTCTCCCCTCCAAACTTCTGGAAAGAGTGGAAACAGGTCTTCATCATTTTGGAAGTCAGGCTGCTTTTTTGAGGGGTCATTTGCATTTTTTTGTTTATTTACAGAAGCTCATTTTTGCCAGGGTTCTACCAGAGAGACACAACCAGTAGGATATGTGGGTTTTATGAGTTATTATAAGGAGTTGGCTAATGTGGGGCTTTCAAATCTGAAATCCGTGGGGCAGGAACCAACACCACACTCCACAGGGGTGCATTTTCCCCCTCAGGAAGACCTCTGTTTCTCTGGTAAGGTCTTCAGCTGATTAGACCATCCAGGGTCCACTTCATTATTTAAAGGCAGATGTCTAGAGAACACCTCCAGGGCACATCATATTAGCACTCATGGAGAAACCGGGGCACACGAACTGACTATCACATTAATTCGGCATAGATTATGGCTTTCCACCCCTTCCCCAGGAGAGGCCTCAGTGCAGCCTCCTCCTTGTCCCTCTGAGCTTGGTCTTCACAACTGTTCACTTCTGCTGACAACTCTCCATATGTCTTTCTACAGTTTCTGGGTTTCCTATTATACTTAGGAAGGTCATTCCCACCCCAAGATCATAAAAATAGTCTCGGATGATTTATTATGGCATTATGTGGTGTGTTTTATTTTTAGGTATTACCATCAGTTGGTCTGGAATTTAGCTGGGGCACGGTGAAGAGGTGGAGGGAACAGTGTCTTCCACAGCAGCCAGCAGGGGGCACTGCAGGTCCATACTGCCCATGGTGTTCACTGGGGCTCTCCTGGTTTAGGAAGCCACCCTGTCAGGCAAAGAGTGGAGCAGGATTCGAACCAGGACTGCTGGCTCAGAGCTGTGGCTGGTCCTCTGCTCCTTCCTCATCCCCACAGTTCCTCTCCCTCCCTCTCTGCAGCATTCCATGACAACCCCAGCGTCCTGAGTGAGCTCTGCAGCACTTTGTCCCATCTGACTGTTCGCAACGAGTTCTGTCAAGAGGTCGTAGACCTCGGGGGCCTTGGCATCCTGGTGGCCCTATTGGCCAACTGCAACAGCCATCAGGTGGGCATCCAGAGCTGTCTTAAAGTGCAACGTTCCCTCACCCTGATTTCAATTTGACATCGTTCTCCATGCCTGGGAAAGTCTTCAGCCTCTCAGGGAACTTGTTCCTTTGGGCTCCTGCCAACCATACAAGCCTGTATGAGAACACGCCTGGCCTGTCTGCTGATTCCAAAGCCAAAATGTGTTTCTACTTCTCAGTGACCCATAGGTGGGAACTAAAGTTTTGGGGCAGACAAACCCACCCCACCCTTTCTTACTGTCCTCTAGTACCTATTTTCTACCAGGGGTAGGAGGGACAGGAGTGGGTGTTGCCAGGGCTGATAGGGCCACCCACTAAGCTGGAGAGTGGCCCACTCCTCACTTCCTGGGCTTTCCTCTCTGTATAACAGGTCAAGGACTCCTGGCCATCATTAATTCAACCCCCTCACCACGTGTCCAGCCTAGGGCCAGGGATCCTGGCTGCTACCAGCAATGACCTTGCTATCTCTGACCTAGTCAGTGACAGCAGCCAGTCCAATCAGTCACTGTCCACATTGGGCCTGCGGCCAAGGCCAAGGAGACCTGGTATTCTGATTGCTGATGTGAGCCATTGCTTCCTCTGTGGGGGTCAGGGGAGGTATCAAAGTCATTGGAACAAGATCTACTTCCCCTGCCTTCTCTATACAGTGAGTAATAACCCAGCTGTCACATGCCGCCTTTGTGCCCCAGGGCAGCCCTAGCTGTTGTTCAGACTGCTGAACAGCCTCAGACCTACCCTCGAGACCCCCTCCCACAATCCAGCAACTTAGCAGTTAGCTCCTGGTGCAGCGGGAGAGGGACTGACCCTCTTGTGCCCTCCATATAGGACCTTGTGAAGCAAGTGCTGAGTGCCCTGAGGGCCATCGCAGGCAATGATGATGTGAAGGATGCCATTGTCCGTGCAGGTGGAACAGAGTCCATTGTGGCTGCCATGACCCGGCACCTGGCCAGCCCTCAGGTACCTCCAAGGGGCTCATGAGGTGGGGCAGTGCATTTGGAATCCCAGCTAAGTCACTATATCTGTGTGATGCTCTTTCCATTTCCTCAACTAGAGATGAGGGGGAGGCGGAGGGAGAGGGGCAGGAAAAATGAGGGTGGGCAAGGGGTGAGATCAATCAGGTAAGGCTAGGGTGGAGGAGGGTTTGATGAGTGAGAGCCAGGGTAAGCAGAGTGGGAAGGGGGACAGAAGAGCTTAGTTGATGTTTTTGTCACCCTGGTACTGTTCCTGCTATTGCTGGTCTGGCACACACCTGGACTGATAGTGTGTCTTGGGACACTCATCTGGGAAGTGGGTGATGGCAGTGGTCTGTAGGCCTGGTCTCAGCCATTCCTGTGACCCATCCTGCAGGTATGTGAGCAGAGCTGTGCAGCCCTGTGTGTCCTGGCCCTGCGCAAGCCAGAGAACAGCCGGATTATTGTGGAGGGCGGTGGTGCTTTGGCTGCACTGGAGGCGATGAAGGCACACCCGAAGGAGGTCGGTGTGCAGGTGGGTACAGAGGAAGTGGGAGAGGCAGAAGCCCGGCATGCAGGTGAGGGGCCAATTGGAGGCCCTCCCAGTCCCTATCCCCATTCCCATCATGGTCCAAGCCTTGTAGATTCCTTTCCCAGCTCCTATAGTTCTGTAGCTACATACCATCCTCCAGAGTATATTGTCCCTGCTCCTTTATTCTGTGTTGATCTTTCCTTATAGGCTCTTTATGAGGATCTGGGGAGGAGGAGGGGATGGGGAAGAACAGATGGGGCTCTGCTGGGATTTGGGGTGGTTCTGTCCGCCTCACTGAGGAGTCTTCAGGGCCGAACTATACACTGAACCATGTGTACACTGTGGCCTGAAACCCACGCTCTTTTTGCAGCCCCTGGTTCTCCCACCTCACATGCACCCCAGCACTGGGGCCTCCTCATGATCCTTAGCCACCCCAGGCTGTGGTTCCTATAGGGCCTTGCTCTCCTGGCCCTTCCAGGTCAACATGCCCTTGTCCTTTTCTGACCACCCTGGCTAGGAGCCCCCACACTTCACCTACTCATCCCCTGGTGGTAGAAGCCTTGTTGGGGTGCTTCTAGATATCCACACATGGCAGATATGCATGGTATACTGAAGGAGTACCAATGTAATTGACAGATAGGCTCTGTGCACACCCCCTCTTTTCTCTATCTTGCTGCCCTCTTCCTCTGGGACCCCTGCCAGACTCTGTGAGACTGAAGTTCCATACCTCAGAGATCAGCCCCACCTGCTGAGCCTTTGGCCACTCTGGGAAATGGGGGATTAGCTATGCCTTGGGCTGTGGAGATGAAGTGAAGGGATGCATCTGGCCTGATGAGTCATAGCATAGCACCCACCAAATTCTGGTTGTGGTCATCATTGTGTTAGGAGGATAAGCCCAAGGTCAGAGTGGATCCTACCCTGGGACCTCAAGCACCAGCCTACAGCCTTCATCTTCTGTTCTCCCTTCTAGAAACAGGCCTGCATGTTGATCCGAAACCTAGTGGCCCGCAGTCAGGCCTTCTCTCAGCTCATCCTGGACCTGGGAGCCGAAGCACTCATTGTGCAGGCCCGTGTTGCTCACCAAGATTGCGAGGACGTGGCCAAGGCAGCCCTGCGGGACCTGGGGTGCCATGTAGAGCTCCGAGAGCTGTGGACCGGCCAGAAGGGCAACCTGGCACCATGATCCAGCCTCCTCCTAGATTGCGACTCTGGGTGAGTCGTGTGACTCAGGAAATTGGAAGATCCATGTCCTGCCATTCTGCCTCCCAGATTCCTCTCCCAACTCAGAGCTGTTTCTGATGGGTAACAGCTACAAGCTTGGGAGTGCAAAGGGAGCACTGATAAGGCATCTACACTGGGTCTTGTGCTCCCATCACCAGCCAACAGTGCTGGTATTACCCATCCTGACCCCTCCCACAAGCCCTTTCCTACCAGAAGGACCTTCTCAGCATTGCTTGGGGTGAAGGGCTATCTGAAATTTGGCAGACACACTGGCCAGTCTCAGAGTGAGGCAGGGATCTCGCCTCTTCAAGTCCATTCTTGCCTTGCTCCTGTTTTTCTCACCTATAAATGGGTCAAAGACACCTTGCTCTCCTGGCCAGAGGGCAGGGACTGAGGCTGGTCCATCTCTGAAGCCCCAGGCCAGCCATTCCTGTGTAGTAATAAAAAGACCTTGCTTGCCCTGGACTGTGTGGCTCAGTTGGATGAGTGTTGTCCCATACACCAAAAGGTAGTTGGTTCAATTCCCTGTCCAGTAGGGGTGTGTTTTTCATCGATAATGTTTCACTCTCCATCTCCCTTCCTCTCTCAAGTCAGTAATAAAAAAAATATTTATTTTTAAAGAAGACATTTGACTGAAAAATGGAGGACTCTCTTCCAGGGTCCTTATGCAGGGGTATGGGACTATGCAGCCTATGGTCTCAGATAATGGGAGGAGTAGACGTTTGGACAGGCCATGGGTTGCTGAGGAAAATGAAGAGGTTTTGAGAACAGCTTAGGATATAGGATCTTATGTTGCTTTCAGACAGGCAGATTGGTGGGGCACAGTTGGCATGAGCCTGGGATTTGCAACCACCTAGGTTGCTGCTTCTGAGTGTGAATCTCCTTGGGGAGCTGAATTGCTTAGCATCCAACCCCAACTCAACTATGTGGACTGCAGTAAGTGATGTAACCTCTCTGAGCTTTGATTTGTTCCTCCATAAAACAGGGAGTGTGTGTATGAGGGGGTGGGGGGATAGAGAGCTCACCTCAATGTTGGAGCAGAGCTGAGACATGGGAGGTGCCTGATTGTCTTAGCTTCACCTTGGTCACCCAGGAGGACACTCTTGCACTCCCCCTCCTGACTACATTGAGATCCTTGCTTGCTAAGTGGCTTGGGCAGCCTGCTTTCTCTCTCTGAATCTGTTTCCCCATCTGTAGGATAGACATCACTTTTGGTACCCTGATGCCCACTAAATCTCCAAAGAGTTCTTGGATCCCCAGGCACTGGTGCCTGGCAGACCCCAGCTTTCTCTGCAGTCACACTCAGGGGGCATCTTGTCATCTGGCAGCTCATGCATTCCTTTTTTTTTTTTTTTTTTTTAATGGCTCCAGCACCCAGGGACCGAGAGAGGTTTTATTTTAATATATTTTTAAATATATTTTATTGATTCTTCACAGAGAGGAAAGGAGAAGGATAGAGAGTTAGAAACATCAATGAGAGAGAAACATCGAGCAGCTGCCTCCTGCACACCTCCTACTGGGGATGGGCCCACAACCAAGGTACATGCCCTTGAACGGAATCGAACCTAGGACCCTTGAGTCTGCAGGCCGGTGTTCTATCCACTGAGCCAAACCGGATAGGGAAGCTCATGCATTCCTAATGGCCTGGTCAGGGTCAGAGTAACCTCAAGACCCTGGTGGTCTCGGAGTACACTACTCTACTGGTCATTCACTTCCCCTAACCTGAGGTGGGACTCATTTCCACTCTTGACATCAGTTCAAGCCCTTTTTCCAGAAGGCTCCTGGTTTCCATGGAAATTGGCTAATACAAATAGCTGTGAGGTCAGCACCCTGGCTGCACCTCTTTGTGGTGTCCAAATCTCCCTGCCCCCAGCTGGACGAACCCTGCCTGCTCGTTTGGGCTGACATGACCCTCTGCCCCAGTACCCTGCCCTAATCTCCCCTCACCAGGGACTTGGCAAGGATGCAGAAGGATCCCTGCCTGCTCTAGGTTGCCCTGACTTTGATTTCTGGTTCAGCCAAATATGTGACCTTGGGACAGTCCTGTTACCAGCGAGACAAGACTTCAATTCTTATCTACTTGAAGGAAATATTTTAAGCAAGAGACAATGCAGCAAAGCAAGCAAGAATTTGTTGGCTGCAGCAAAAACACACTCAGGACAGTGAAACAAGGAAGGATATAGTAGAAGCAACAGGAGAGTCTAAGCTGGGCTGCTTCGGCTCACTGGGAAGTCAGAAAAGGGGGCCATGGAGACAAGTTCAGGGAGTTTGCCCAGCACGAGCTGCTGCTGCCCATGCTACCCTGGTTGCAAATCTTGTGGGGTCCCATAGAGTTTAGGAAATATGTGCCTGTGGAGGAAGGAGAGGGGGAAGGGAGGGGCACAGGCATGCTCCTCTTGAGGAGAGCATGAGTTGGGTCCTTTGCATTGAAGATATTTATCTCTTGCTTGTGGGAATCTTAGGCATGGTCTCTGGGGAGGCATTCATCCGCTTTCCAGGTGTGCTCTTCCAGGGTCCTGGTCACCACTGATTGTTGGCACCTGGGCAGGGTATCAGACGTCAGTGCAGCTGGTCCTGAGGCAGCCATGGTGTCACTTGTCTGATTTTGCTGCCATTGTGAGCTGCGAGCTGAAATACAACTGAGGCCTAGATGCTATCTTTTTTTTTTTTTTTTTTTTTAATATATTTTATTGATTTTTTACAGAGAGGGATAGAGAGTTAGAAACATCGATGAGAGAGAATCATCGATCAGCTGCCTCTTGCACACCCCCTACTGGAGATGAGCCCACAACCAAGGTACATGCCCTTGACCAGAATCGAACCCGGGACCTTTCAGTCCACAGGCTGACGCTCTATCCACCGAGCCAAACCGGTTTCGGCTAGATGTTGTCTTTAAGAAGGAAAAGGTCAGGGGGTCTAAACCATATGACTAGCCATATGCTAGGGAAGGAAAGGTTACCTTGGGGGTGAGGTTTTTATTTTCCTAGGTTTGCCCCTTGCTAGGCACCCAGGGCTTTTGGTCTTGGTGACCTCCTGTACCTGATCCATTATCCTTGCTCTGCTCATGTCTGACTAAATGCCTATAACACTGTGACCTTGGGGAGTCCTCAGGCCCTGTAACCCTTATGTTACTTCATCTGTCACATGGTCAGGAGTGGGGTAGGGGTGAGTGGAAAGGTGGATGCTGCCAGCCAGTTTCTGAGGAAGCCTGAGTGCTGCCCTGTGATTCCTGCCCCAGATCAGCTCTCAGTCTGCTTGTGGCTCCCCATTGGCCTCCCCATAAAACCAAACTGCACTCCAGGTCCTGCTCACTCCCACCCTCATCTTCCTCATGCTCTCCTTTAATCATGATTCCAGCCACACAACCCTCTTCACCTCAGGGCCTTTGCCCTCCTTTTGGAGTCCCCTTCCCTCTGTCCTCTCCTTTCCCAGTCCCATCGTCCCTTGTGCTATGCCTCTGACCTCTGACACTATCTGAAGTCCCCTTGTTTTTATGTTTTCCTGTTTGTCCCCCACTCTGTGTGAGTAGGCTCCCGCCTTCCTCACTCTGCTCCAGCTTGTGTAAACATTTCTGAACATACACCTGAGTAAGTGAATAAGTACATAGGGCAGTTGGAGAGGAGGCCTCCCGCACAGCCCAGGGCCCATTCCTGGGCTCTTTGCCAGCTTTTCTACAGCTTCAGGCCTTTTGGGGCTGGGTGGCTCCCGTTTATCAGTTCTTCCCACCTTAGCCAGAGGAAATGGGTGTCTTCAGGGGGTGCACTTAGGGACTGTTTAGATGTCCTCAGCCTGGTTATCCCATGTCCAGCTGAAGAACCACATTTCCCAGAAGTTGGCCATGCCTAGATTCTAGTCTCTGCACTGCCACGTTGGCCTTGGTTAGCCTTGGCCGACTCAACTGAAAACGGACTGTTTGTCACAGCTCTGAGCCATAGCTCCCTGCAAGGCCCAGCACAGCACCTCCCTCCCCAAGGAGTACTCCATGACCTTGCTGATGACATCAAAACATGGGCTGAGGGCCAAAACTGGTTTGGCTCAGTGGTAGAGCGTCCGTCTGCGGATTGGAAGGTCCCAGGTTCCATTCCGGTCAAGGGCATGTACATTGGTTGCAGGCACATCCCCGGTGGGGGGCATGCAGGAGGCAGCTGGTCGATGTTTCTCTCTCATGGATGTTTCTAGCTCTCTCTCCCTCTTCCTTCCTCTCTGTAAAAAATCAATAAAATAGATTAAAAACACACACACACACACACACACAAAAAAAAAAAAACACACGTGGGCTGAGGGGTACATGACTGCAAGGGAGGTGCCAGCATGTCTGGGCTGTGTCTCTGTTGCTGGTGCTCTTGGATGAGTGGTTGGATTCTCAGAGCCTCTGAGAGACTGAGATTGCCTTGAGACCAGTCAGACGTGGCTGTAGTCACTATCGTGTCCCTTGGTTGTAAACATTTCTGAGAGGCATAGCCTGTGAACCCCATTTTTCCAGATGAGAAATAGACTCACTGGCATTTGGAGGGCCGAAGCAGGATAAGAACCAGCTCAGCCTGCCTCTGCCACTCCTCTGTTGCCAGTGTTGCTAACCTGACCTAACCTGGCTCTCTGATCTCGGCTGATTAAGCCTTGTCCCTAAGCCTAGTTCATTGCTGGTGTGAAAGATGATTCCTGGGATCCCAGAGAAGTAGAGGGAACTAGGGGACAAAGAGGGAGTGGCCTGCCCAGGGCCAGCGAGGCCAGCTCAGAAAATCTAGCATCCTGAGCACGCTGGCCAGTCACAACCAAGGTGCCCATGGTGGGGTATCTATCAGTTGCTGATGCCAAGGGGCTTTGCCTGTCATTGTTGGAAGGGTAGAGGAAGGTTGGCTGGTGCCAGCTTGCTGACAAGCAAACAGAAGCCAGAGCACAGCCAGTATTTCTGGCACTAGAAGAAGCAGCTGGGTGTTAGGACGCTGCCTGACCCTTGCCTCA